CAGTGCTGGCTGGGACATATTCTACAGCCTTTTGGCACATCCGGGGCACCACTTCTACGTCCAATGTGACTGAAGGGTCTGAGCACCACCCCATGTGAACACGCCCCAGGCTATACTGCTAGAATGATACCTCTAACTGGACTGTAAACCTAAAACTAGGATACATCATCTGAGTAGGCTATCCATCATCCAGATGGATGTATCCTTTGATACATCCATGGTGGATCCGAAAATTTGATTCTCAGAACTTTCCAGGCCTTGTTGGGAGGGGTCAGATACCAAAACTAGACACTCTCAGCCCCCTCTCTGGCCAGGTCTCCTTTGGTTCCCTTCTTGATGACGGTTGTTTGATCTGGCGGCTATGGAGAGATCTGGAGTAGATCTTCATTTCATTTTTCATTTGGAAAAGAACCATTGAGAGCGCAATTAAGTCTTGTATCGTGTAAGTCAACCTGTCTTCATGTGATGTTTGTATTCTTGCAGTTCTGAGTTCATTTTCTAACGGTTTTCGCATTGGACTCTGGAGCGCACTGCATCTTGTGTTACGGGATGTCAACATTCTCACATTTTCAAGTGATGGTTTTCAAATTTTTGCCTCAGTACATAGAAACATGTATTTTCTAACTTTCAGTGACAGTTTTCGCATTGACTGTAGAGTCTTATGTCACGTGATGTGCCCATGTCCACATTCTCGCATTCCTAAGTGACGGTTTTCATATTTTTGCATCAGTACACAGGAACACATCAAAATTTATGATTTATTATCACAGGACAACAATTATAAACGACGACAAGGTGACTATATGCAACAATAGGTACGGGGTAGTGACATGTGGAGCTTTGAAACTTTAAACTTTTTGTTTCCTGTTTGTCATTAGATTTACTGAATTTATAAAAGATGAAAAAAAATGCACCTCTTCTTGTGACCTGAAACACCATCTTCAACTGCCACTCCATGGCGCTTGCCAGTAATTAGACAGTTTTCACCAATACTGTTAGCAATAACATTACACGACAATGGAACACAGACTCAGTGTGGGTACAACAACTCTGCTAAGGTGCAATGCAGAGCTAATGAAAGAAATGATAATGCTCAAAGCTCTGGGTGGGAGATAGAGCTATACTCTCTAAGTGTTGGTCAAGGTGTGATGCAAATTGTTCGACCCGGGGAAGCAGATGGCAGCAGAGAAATGATCCAAAGCACACTGAATGAGTGCCTAAGGGGGGCGCCTAAGCGCGGGAAAGCGCCAGAGCACGTGAAGCGCTGGGGAAGCGGCTCTCAATGCAAGACAAGGTCCATTAGAAGTGGAATAATGATTGGTGCTCTAAAGTGTGGCTCTATACTGGTGCTCAGTGGTAGTAGATGGGTGGTAGTAAGGTAACAGAAGAGTCTCCGTAATGCCTCCTCAGCTCAACACAAAGTGAACCACAGTGAGGTAAAGCGCTATGTAATAGCTACTGGGCCATGAGAAATGGTGCCATACAGTGTAGGTAATAATGAAAGGTACATGAATAGTAAAAATAGCGAACTACTACGTACCTGTGGGCTGGATGGACAGTGGATGGATGCTCCTGGATGATGGGCGACGCAGGGTGCTTAAGCGCGAGAAAGCGCGCAAGGCACGCAAGGCGCGCGCGGGAATGCTGCGGCTGGTGCGGGAAAGTAGCGCGCTTATGGTGCTCTTCACAGGAAAGTGGGGCGCTCTATAGGGAATAGGTAGATATGATGATGGTGCGAGCCTGGCAGTGATGCCCTGTTGTCCCGAGCCATGATATAGGCCATATGTGGCTGTAGGGGCACGAGCCTCTACATCGGCTGGTTCTGCGCAGAAGGGAACACTCGGCGAGTTCAGGAGGCTGACTTTGTTGATCGGTTATGGTAGATGAGGATTAACCAGCGCAGTAGACAAAAGAACAGGAGCTGGAGGAAGCATGAGTGAGTCCTGCGAAGCTAAGATGGGTGTGGGCTGAAGTACATCCAGGGATGGGGCCCGGATTTGCATAGGAGACAATATTGTAGTTGGAGGAAGTGTGGGTGAGTTCTGTACTGATACGATGATAGGTGCAGGCTGAGGTATGTTTGGGAGTTAGGCAGGAGGTGGAGTTATGGGAGGCGATGGCGACTCCAAGGCAGATGCTGCCTGTGAGGTAGGGAGGTAAGCACGGCAGGTTTGGATTCCCGCCTAATGCCTCATATGCATTGATTTGAGCAGTGAGTCCCTCCCAGAATGAGTCGCCTACTTCTGGCCAATTCAAATCAGTCAAGTTTTCTGAAAAATTGATGTCTGGGACATTGTCCGTATCCGAAGGTGAGAATATCACCTGACGCGATGAGTCATCATTCCTATTTCCTAACTCCACACCAACTTGAATCGGCAAAGAATTGCTACTATCTCCTGCACTCCCTAGCCTCGCCTTCAAGTCGCTGTGGCCTCGCTATTGATAGCTCGGTAAGTTGGATGCTATCAGTAATCACATTTGAACTCACAATATACTCGGTGCAGGTAGTCTCTAAAAGGAGACATAATAGTGCTCTTGAATTCTGGATACACCTTACTAAAGTCACTCCCATACTTTGTCTTACCTACATGGAAACTTCATATCCAAGGTGAGCGCTGAATGCTGCAGATGAGCATGGATGACTTACCTATATACATCAATCAATCCACCAAGCTCTGGAGAAGGGCCACCTGCGAGGAGGGGAGAATAAAAACCTGTTTGCATCCGCAAGTCCGGTCAAGAATTTATTGACCATAGCGGCAAGTTTTTCTATATTTCTATGAAGTCATGTCAACTTATTGATACATCCGAACTCTTTAAATCATTACCTCCCATAATCGTCTTCACTCCACATTCGCTCCTTCTCAATCGTCTCTGTGCATCCTTGCATCCTCGATGTACTTCCATACCTCCGCCTTAACCTCATTTGTCTCTGCTTCATAGAGGTTCACTGTCTCCTTTTTGACCATGGCTACACGCATTCCATTGGTAGTGCTTTGTTCTCGGCTTGCAGTACCTCAGTTTCTGCCTTTAGTTGTTCTCAACCATGGATTTTACACGCCTCTGGTAGTACAGTTTGGAATACACCTCGACTTCCTGAAGGGAACGTGTTGGCTTTTCACATTCACTGACACTCTTCAGGACCACATTGAAGATGTTCGTAGCCTTGGCCTTCGCTTGTCATCCTGTCTTTGTAGCTCCCAGGCTATTTTGAAACGGTTCTCTAATTTCTGCAAGCCTATATTAACATGGTCATTTCAACAAGGACACATGCGGTGACCAACACACCTTTTTTCACCTCGGTTTCCGCCTGATCCATGATAGCAAAGCTCATCCCTGGTCAGTGGCCCAATAGGTGCAGTGTAGCTGGCCTTGGCTCGGGGAATACATCAAGCCACTCTCCCAACAACTCGGTAAAGAAATTTGCCCAGTTTTTGGTTCTGTCTGATTGCTTTGCACAGTACTTCTCATACCAAGGACCCAGCCATTCCTCCTGTTCAGGAGTGCTCCATTTCGGTGGTGCCATCTACATTAATTGTTATGCAATGAGTGCTGTCATTTCGGAAAAAGTTCACGTACTCACATACGTTGCCTGTTAAGACCGTAGCTCAAGGGTTAACAGATCCGAAGGGCTTGGCCTCAGCTCATGCGCTGTGCCCCTTACCCGAGTACATGCCCTTAATTTCAGAATGAAGTCCAGATGGAATCTGACAAAGTCCGAAGGACTTCCGGAGGCTAGCTACTCTAGTAGAGTGCTAGAGGACTTCCGGATGAGTGCGAGAAACTTCCAGAGGAGTATAGGAAACTCCGGAGGAGTTTCATCCACTGTATTAGATCCGAAGGTAAGACTTCCCAAGGTAAGTTCCCTAGATAGAAACACATAGAGGATAGGCTGCAAGGGACAGAGTCCAAAGCAGGATAGGGTAGGAGGAGTGGTCCGAAGGACAGGACGTCCGGAGGTCCAAAGGTTACGGCGTCCGAAGGGTACGACATCCAAAGGTTACGACATCCAAAGGTCCAAAGGTTTAGGAGGACCGGAGGAGCAGAAAGGATTAGGACAGGAGGGGAAAGGCTACTATGGACAAGGTCCGGAATAGAAACAGACAGAGGTAGACTACACTATGGTAGAGTCGGATAGACGGGGTTTAGACAGAAGTCTCGGAAAGACAGGAAGTGCCAGAAAGGCAAACCTTCAGTCTAGGGAATCAATCCCTAGACATGAGAACAGAGACATAGGGGACAAATCCGAAGGTCCGATGTCATGCATGGTATGGAGTTCATACCATGACATATACGAATAGCAGTATAAAAGGAGATAAGTAGAGGAGTGTACAAAGGATATACTTCTTACTTATGTAAGCTTTGTTTCTATTTATTTAGTTGTATTTGTAGTTTCTGTCTCTTTCCATTTGTTCTTGTTTATTCAGCCACTTGATTACATCAGTGAGCCATTCAGATATGTTTGTAAGCATGTCATGTGACTGGTAATATTCTGATTTGTAAGGACTTTCCATGACTCATCATGTTTTGTCATGATTTGTCATGCTTTGTAATATTTTACAGTGCTTTGTAATATTTTACTCATGTACTTTAGTAAGCAGCTGATTCAGCACACCAAATGGCTTGGTTTGTAAGCATAATCTTACCAATCCAGTGATGACTCATTGCTTAGTAAGGATGGTTTCTAAAATGTATATAAGGACTCCATTCTCACATAATATATAAGTTTTTCCCCTTCCATTCTTTTCCCAAACTGTGTGGGAATGTAGGAATTTGAAGTCAGGAGTTTTCCCACTTTCTGTCTCAACACTGTGAGATCACAAAGAAAGTGAAGGCCTACGAGTTGCCTTTGAAAACAATCGTGTTCTTTTAGTCTAGATTGATTGTATACTATCTTACAGGGATCGCCTATACAATAATCTATCGTTTTATCCATCATCTTACGTATTCAAGTCACATTCAGTTCAGAGAGGTTCATATTACCTACTAGGTTTCAGTTAACCTGACAAAATATATTATACTCCTTTACTATCAAGAAGTGATCTAGCAAAGAAGTAATTTATTACCCTTTGGCCACCCACGAACACCACATTATCAACCGAGAAGTAGAAAATCCGTTGACCATGAACTTGAGGAGCTGGCACCTTAGTCTTAAAGAATACAATTGTGATAGTCATTGTATTCTGTTCAACATATAAGACCCTCAAGTAAGAAGACACCGGATTTCCGGCCTAGGGAATCCATCCCTAGGCCTTGATGGAAAGGCAGAACTCAGATGGACCAAAGTCTGAGACAAGAATGAGTGAAGTCTAATGTGAGACAGAGCAAAGTCTAAGATGAGAGAGCAAGTCTATGTTGATATTCGAACTAAGGAAACTTTACATGAGTTGTACAGAGGTTTATATACTGGACGGGATCCGAGAGGATCAGTAAGCTGAACACAAATGCTATGTATGAGCATGTGGAAACATATTGGTAAGTATGAACGGAACATAAGTAAATGAACTCGGAGATGAACAGCGTACAAGGATCAATAAGCAAGATGGAAACACAGATAACCGAAGTCCGGAGTCAAGGGGATTACCATAAGGAGATAGACACTGATTTAAGGTTTGGGCTTCGGATATGAGTATAGGTTGGATCCGGAGGTCTAGAGGATTGGATGAAGCGTCTGGATATCGGATGAGCGGATCCAGAGATCTAGGTAAAGACAGGACTAGGATAAGGGTCATGGATATAGACCGATAGTCTAGGGAAGGTAGAGTCCGAGATGGAATGAGCTCGGATCCGATAGGACTCAGGGTGGATGAAGCAGGCTTAGCTGCGGAGGTCTGGAGGTATAGATATATGGATGTACGAAGGTGTACGGATCCAAACCGATAGTGGACTGGAGGACTGAAAGCATGGATAAGGGTATGGAGTCATGGATAAGGGTATGGAGGTCCGGATGTGCATCCGGAAGGCGTCCAGAAGGCGTGGGAACATCATCGGATGAAGGTCCGGAATACAGGATATGACATTGCCTCACACGATTGTGGGATGGGTATACTTATGTAGCATAATTTGAATGATAATAGTTTGACATTCGGCTCTCAAATATCTCACGCACGGGCCCCCGAATGCACATTTTTGCGCTGGAGGAAGCTCACAAGCAAGACAATTGTATTTTGGTGTATGTAGCATGAATTATGTACTGATCAAATCCTGATATCCTTCTGATACATTAGCTCCCCCAACCATTGTGCCATTGTCAGCTCCACAACTCCTCCGGACATTTAAAGAAGCTAAATGTCCTCCAAGTATGCGGCTGTAGTCTCCAAGAATTGAGAGACTGTGTCAGCGGCATGCCACTCGGGTGAGAGACCACAGAAATTCAGGATTTCGTCTTGCGCAGCAATGACATGCTTGAGTATTTTTCAATCTCACCGATTGAATTCATGATGATAGAGATATCACCCTTAGTACTGCAATCATCTGGGATGCTCTTGACGTACTCGGCCAACTTGTCCTTGGCAAACTCGCAGGGGTCGGCACCAATCAATGTGAGCATGTTGTCCTTGGCGACTTTGATAGCGAGTAAGCATGCTGGAAGATTGGATCTGTTGGACGTTAAAACATTAATTTCTTGTTTCAATTGATATTTCTATTTTTAAAAACAGAATAGAACTTACAGTATGTCGATTTCGTCATTGTCACTGGAATTGTCAGTGTCCGATTCAGACTTATCATCATTATCACAGCCATGCAATGCTTTCGCCACAGCCTTCAAGATCTCTTTTGCTAATGCCTCTGCTTCCTTATCATGTTTCTTTACACCAAGCACCCTCCGCCATTGTAAGATTGTGTCTCTATGTCTTCACAAGTAGGTGTCAGGAACAGTGTCGAGAACAATCAATGAAATTATGACATACTTGGCATAATAGTGTCTGTGCTTTTCTCGGGCAGCCTCCATTCTTTCTTGAACTGTTTTATGAATAGTCGGACGAGCCATCATTGATATTTGTTGGAGAGGACTAGCAAAGTTGTAGTGGTGTAGGTTAAGAAAAGTTCAGAAGAAGCAGAGCTGAAAGAAGCTCAGGTGTTCATCACTCCGAGTCGCACTGCTAGAGTTTGTGCGAGTCCGACCATAATAAATATATTGATGTTGTCTCTGATATTAACATGGTAAAATGCATGTAGGAACTACTGGAGGGGCCACTGCCTTCTGGACTTATGGTACAGTTGGATATGAGGTTTGTTTTGCATAGGTAGTACATGTATTGGCTTCATCAATTGTAATGGGCGTACAACTGTTGGTATCACCCATAAGAGGTGATTAATGCTCTTGCGGTCCGACCAAAACTTAACACTCGACTATTTCGATTTGCGAGTGCTTACAACAATTCCTTTTCATGCAAATCACTGAGATGTCTTTAGCCTTCCCACTTAATACTAGCAAGTTTTCAATCCTGATATCTCATTAGGCCAACTCTACACAGATTCAACTTGAAGTCAGCACAGTTGAAGTTTATTACATGATAACAACAGCGCGCTGTCACCGCTGTGCACTGTGTGACAACACTAGCATTCTACTCACAAGCATGGCTAGAGGTGGCCGTCCCAGCAAGAAGCCTCGACTTGTTCGCCATCCTGTCCCAGGTTCTACTGGACAGTCTTCTCAGAACGTCCATCACCACCAAATATTCACAATTCAACCTACTGGACAAATCAACCTGCAGACAAGATATCTTGATGCTGTCCTACCTGCAGATGATGTCTCTGAGACTGCTTATGATGTTAGCATTGACTGCTGTGAGACTGATCCCTGGAATGAGACTCATATATCTCTCGACGCTGAACCTTATGATATCCATGTTCTGACTGAAAAACGAAAGCAGGCGGGCAAAGTGAGTGGCGCTTCCTTTCTTTTCAAATAAAACTGACTTCTGCATCATCTTTTTTCATGATATGATGATCTGATGCATGCTTGGATTCCAGAACGACCACACTATCTAGATGAATTGATTCGATTAGAAGTGTGCAGGAGGGCTAACTATGCATGCCATGCTTGCGGGGACTTGAATGCACCGTATCGTTGTGAAGATTGTTTTTCGGTTGATTTATTTTGCCATTCATGCATCATTCAGCTCCATCAAAATGTACCGCTTCATCGAGTCAAGGTTAGCATTTTGCATACTAAATGTACCTTTCTCTGACAACACTATTTCAGCAATGGCAGGCCGGATATTTTCACCATACAACTTTAAAACACCTTGGCTTGCACATCCAATTAGGAGATCACACCGGCGAGCCCTGCCGCAATCCCAAACCTGCCCAAGATAATGATTTTGTTGTAATCAATGTCCATGGAATACACGAAGTCACGCTTGACTTCTGTGACTGCACGAATGCACCATCCCACTACAGACAATTTCTGCATGGTCGCTTGTTTCCAGCAACTTCAACAGATCCGAGGACTGCAGCAACATTTGCAGTTCTCGAACAATTTCACCTCCTTTTGTTTGAGTCCAAAGTCTCTGCTTATGAATTTTACCATTGTCTTGCGCGTCGAAGTGACAACACAGGTGTTAAGCCTATCAAGGTGACACTTGTTCCTTACTTCAGTCAGCACCAAACCCGTTACTGACCAGTTTATCCATATAGGACCGCTGTGACAATCATACCAGCGCTAGGCGCGTATGAGTGTCATAGGCACAATTTGCCTTACCTTGAGGAAAGGAGTAAAGCGCTAGTCACCAGTGCTATTCAGCTCCCAAGCTATCCGCTTTGGAACCGCTTTTCTCCCATAGCGCGCTGCCCGGCCCGACGCCTAGGTATTTCGTCCTCCCATGTCCTGCCTATGTCCACCTACCTCCGCTGGTGCGTTATTTTTCCTTAAACGTCGCTACTCATCAGTTGCAGGTCTTATTACATGCATCCTCGTGTTCCGCTGCGCTGCATGTCTTATTACCTGTCGCTACATCGTGCCTCCATCAGTGTCACTACTATTCTCACCTACCCATTCCCGAACTTTTACGCAGTATGATAAAATGACCCGTCGCACATACAGTACAGTACTTCCCTTCCCCGGACCTTTGCTGGTGTTGGAGTCACTTTAGTCGCTATATCCTGGTGTTGGTGCAATCGATTCCGCTCTTGCCGATCTCTCTGATCGCGTGTCGCTTGACTTGCTTCGAGTGCGCATCGCTAAAGTTCCTTCATAAGTTTGATCTTCACAACGTCGGGATCGCTGTCGGTAGTCGAGCTATAATCTAGTTGCTATCAGGCATTCCACTTGCACTATCATACCTTATCCCTCGCTTTCCCTTCTTTTGATTTCTTCTCGCTGTCGCTAGTTGGACGTCGCATAGCGCTATCGTATAGGACAACTTGCATCACTTCAGTCAACCACTTGAAATGACCTCTTAGGTCTATGTGTTTGTGGCTAGCAAAGGACCTAGTGGGTGTGTTCTAGGATGGTATTCCCAGTATTTTACCCCATGTACTGGGATGTCCTGGTCCACACTGAAGCAAGTATCTGGGCCATCCCAAGGACCTATTTTGATCTTTCCCAATCCCAACCGGGATCACTCTAGCATGTCTCTGGGATGTCCCAGGGCATTTATTAGGAGGGCTTTCCCATCATAAATAGGGGTGATAGGGGTCCTTTTTCAGACATTTTGACGGCATAAAAATTCACGATTTGTACATTCATAGAAGGAGTAGTACTAGGTATGCAAGGCCAGTATATGCACTTGAGACAAGATTTTGATATGGGACAAAAACCTGCAGGATTTTTGGCTTGAAACAGCGTCCTAAACATAAGAGAAGTCTAATGAGAACTGTGATGGTGGGCGGGCACCAGCAGTGTATGACAGATTCAAATAGACAGACTAGCTATGACAAATAATCTGTTAGAATAAATAATGGCCATGAGACACACTTTGAGACTGCTGAGGGAGTGGTGGGCAGGCGCAAAAGAGTGATAGATCACACTGAGTGCAGCACTAGTCATTGAGTAATGAAATTGTCTTGCGAGCAACATGCAATAAAATGTGGGAGCTTTACTTGTGAGTCTGTTAGAAGACAAAGCGGGGGGGTGGCACAGACTCAGATATGCAATAAAATGTGGGAGCTTTACTTGCAAGTCTGTTAGAAGACAAAGCGGGGGGGTGTGCAAGGAAGGGGGGTGGCAAAGATAATATGCAATAAAATGTGGGAGCTTTACTTGCAAGTCTGTCATAAGACGACAGGGGGGTGTGCAAGGAAGGGGGGGTGGCAAAGATAATATGCAATAAAATGTGGGAGCTTTACATGCAAGTCTGTCATAAGACGACAGGGGGGTGTGCAAGGAAGGGGGGGTGGCAAAGATAATATGCAATAAAATGTGGGAGCTTTACTTGCAAGTCTGTCATAAGACGACAGGGGGGTGTGCAACAAAGGGGGGGGTGGCATTAGATAATATGCAATAAAATGTGGGAGCTTTACTTGTGAGTCTGTCATAAGACGATGGCGGGGGGGGTGTGTGCAAGGAAGGGGGGGTGGCAAAGATAATATGCAATAAAATGTGGGAGCTTTACTTATATCATGTCTGCTGAGCGTCGTAAGGGGTGATAATGCGGAATCGCTTATTCTTTGCTTGCAATATGGTAGCAATATGGAAAATGGTTTGGCACTGTCCAAGGTTCTTCCGGCTAGTTCTATGTTACTGTTCCTGGCTGGGAATGTTGATAAAATGATAAGCCATCCTCTCGTTCGTGACGGGGTGTTGCATATTCGACTCGAGTAGGCCATAATATACAGCTTGAGAGATGAAGTTTCCAATTTGAGGAGGCATCCTGTATTGTGTGTTCAGGAAGAGGGCATGGTCCTTGAGATGCTTGACCTCGAAGATGCTCTTCAGGTCGTGGATATCATCCTGACCATAGTGTGGCAATTGTTTGTCATCGCCAATGAAGCAAATCTTTCTAATGGAGGTATGAGAGGTGAAGAGAGGAATGTAGGCGCCAATCTCAATTTGGGATGCTATCTAGAGAGGGGGGGAATAGATAAATCTGACTAGCTAATGGCACTGTTCAGGCTCTCCCGCCTACCTCTCTAGTACTATCTGGGCCTTCCCGCCCACCCTATACATGTCATCGGGGCTCTCCCGCCTGCCATTCAATTAGCAACTGGGCTCTCCCACCGACCATATACGCATCCTCTGGGCTCTCCCGCCTACCGTTCGATCAGCAACCAGGCCTTCCCGCCAACCCTACCAACACCATTTGGGCTCTCCCACCGACTGTATACACATCATTTGGGCTCTCCCGCCTACCCTTCTACTACTATCTGGGCCTTCCCACCGACCCTAATTATACCAGTTGGGCTCTCCCGCCCACTCCTCTACTACTATCTGGGCTCTCCCACTGATCATCATTACACTATTTGGGCTCTCCCGGTTACCTCTCTAATACTATCTGGGCTCTCCCACTGACCATAATGACACTATTTGGACTCTTCCATCTACCTCTCAACTACTATCCAGGTGTTCCTACTCACCCTAATTATGCTATTATATGCTGGCCTTGATCAGCTCTTGTAGACTTCGGAGTATGTTCAAATCACATGCATTTCAGTATTTGTATTCAACCCAAAGTGCACATATTTCCATTTTCCTGAGCACAGTGAACACAAATCCATCTGAATATTTAAATTGAAATCTACAACAAGCAATATTGTGTGCAAAGTACATGTTATGCTACATAATTGCTAGTGTGGTAGACTGAATAGGATGACGGGCAAAAGACTTTGCAAAGTTTTGATGAGATGAGCAGCATTCAGCAGCCATATACAATTTGACACCTTAAAGATATAAGGACTTGTGGTGTAACGGTTAGAGAGTGTGTATGCCTGCATAGCATGTTTATGTGAGTTTGAACCTGCCAACGTGCATTTTAAATATTTGTTTTTTATCTTCAGCAGAAAAATCCATGGAGGTCGATTCAATCCTCTTGCATGTGATGATAAATTATGTTGCCATTCGTCGTTGTCACCAAACCTTCTCACAGATATAGTGCACAAACTTATTTTCACATGTTTTGGGCTGTTGGTACACATATGATTGCATTACAAGATTGTCAACAAAAGGGAGACAGACATGACCTGTCTTGTTCCAACACATGGGAGTACTAACATTACATGTGAAAGCTTCATCCGCGCAAGAGACAACTGAAGTGATGAGGTACCCGAAGTACAACAGTGAGAGGTACACAAAGTACAACAGCTAGAGGTACCCGAAGTACAAAAATGTGAGGCGCTAATATGAACAACCAAAGGCAAGCAAAGTCAATATGAATGAGTGGACAGCACGATTCTTGCCCATGTTAGTAGCGAAACCGCGAAGGCCCGTCTTCATAATGAGAGTCACCAGCTCTCCTTACTTGGAACCTCTGATTGAAATCATCAGCATGATTTTGCCAGCGTGAGTGAGCAGGACGTCCAGGATAAGAATCATCATCGCTAAGCGCGACAGGAGAAGTCTCGCGTTGCCTGTAGGTGGGCCAATAGTACCTTGAGCGAGATGGATCTCGCTGAGGGTATACAGGAGGTGAACGAGAATATTCACGGCGGCGGTTTGGGGCAACGAAATCTCTGTCCTCACGACGAGGGCCTGGGTAGGGCGCAAGCCTAAGCAATTAAATTAATATATGTTGGAAGTTGTGGAAAGGTAAGACATACTCCAAGTCTGCATCATTACGAGAGTCAGCGGGACTCTCCTCCATGCAGCACATGAATGTAGGGTCAACCTGAAGAAGATCAACATTGAGTCTTGACGGAATAGCGTAGCACTTACCCGTAAAGGTTTCTTCGCCTTGAACGGCAGGCTAGCCTGTCGTCTTCCACCACCGACAGGTTCATCTCTGCTTGTAGGCAGAACAGGGTGAGATTCACGATCAAACACATTTGGGACTTGAGGAAGATGAGTGTCCTCGCGGCGATGTACTGCTGTGAAATTGGTAGGGTGACGTTGGTTTGATGGCAAGGTCGGGGGGCTCGGAGTGACAGGAGATTCATGATCACTTGGCAGCGTGTCATGAGTAGAGGGAGTCTGACCATCCGGATGTGCTTCATGAGCTGCTAATATATCTTCAGGGACAGACACCTTAAATTTGGCGGAGTCTACTAGCTTGCGTAGCACAACATCCAAGGCACTGGTCACCAAGGGAATGTCGAACATCTCCGGCACCTCATCATTGAGCTGCTTGATACATTCTTGCACAATCGACATCAGAAAACAAAGGTATAATGATAACGTGGAAATGACATACCATCTGGCCAAGCTGCGAACTCAATCTCGGGTACATCAACATCTAATTCACTCATGACGTCTTCCACAGTGCGCCCCTGACCTCGGCGCTTGCCCTTTGACTTCTTTTTCTCTAGCTCTAACAAGCTCTTAGCTTCAGTGCGGAGCTCTGCCTCATAATAAGAATGCACTTTGCACTTGATGAAAGGAACGACAAGTAGCTTGAGGTGCTGAGAACTTAGGTTGTGAGGATTGAATTCGGGACCGATAGGAAGGACATCTTCAGGCCAGTTCTTAATCATGAACTTGTACTGGAAAGCATAGTCAAGAAGCTTCCGCCACTGGACTGCTTTGGGTTGATACCCAAACTTCGCTATTTGAGCAGAATCCAGTGAATCGTTGAATTTGGACAAACTTGAGTACTCACAAGTGTGCTCGAGTACCATAATTGGCCATATCCTCCTGTAATGGTCACAGGGAGCCTCGTTTGGCTTTGAAAGTAGAATCTCGTAAGCCCCTACTCCCCCCATGAACTGCGGCACGGATATATTGTAGCCTTTCGCTCTGTGAATATATCAGGAGGTAGGAAAAGTCCAGAATAATAAGACGTACTTCGTTGCAGTCATGACCCAATCTAATATTGCGCGAGCATCCAGTTGATGCTCATTGATCAACTTGACTATGAGGTCGGAGCCCGCGACAAAGCCGGATGCCTGTCGAGCAGCCTCGTCTTGTGTTGTATCAAATATACAGCCGATGGCCTCGACTCCTTCAAGGCGAGAATAAGCAGACAACTGTATTGAGTCATTAGTCGTAATTTAGAATGCACTAATGAAGTAGATGTACCTTTCTTGCAATATCCTCCCTCATTGACAAAATGGTCTTGGCGCGTGATTGATTGGTATTGCCGCCAGTAACGTTATAGTTGTGAATGATGTCCCACTCTTCGTCATCCTTGCCCATTGCATGATAATGTTTGCATTGACGTTCTTTCCAGTCGATGATAGCTGAGACTCTCGAGTTAGCATCATATACACCACAGAATGGGGGACTGACATTCTTTGTCCTTGCGGGGGTTATTATCCATGAACCAGCATTGGTGGGCATTCCAATCAGACTCTGATCGTGAATGCTTGATGGACAGACCAGCCTCAATGAGAATAGCGCGCACAGACTTGCCATACTTGGCGCCAATCACCCGAGCTTCTTCTGCTGTTTTCTGTCCAAGTTCCTGAGCCTCATCGATGCCCTCCTGACATAGCCGTCTACGCTTTAAATGACCTGAGGGTTCATCTTCATTCTCACTGTTGTCAATGTCCGGCGTCGGGCCAAAGACTATACTGGCTGGAGTGGGGTTGCCACCATGTGAAATAGATGCATGCTTCTTGCGAACAGTTGTCGAGTGAGCTGTTTTTTGGGAAGTGTTGGCCAAGGTAGTTTCGATCGCTGAAGACCTTTTCCTGCGCTTAGCAGGCGGTGAAGACGGTGTAGAGACTCGCGTTTCTGCAGGCACATATGGGCACATTTCGCACCTTTTCACAACTCATGACAATTGGCCTTCAATGCACAACTTGCACCATCAGCTATATTCGACTTCTATCATGTCTCTAGTTGTTTTACACATAACGTGCAGCTTTCCCGCGAAACGCGCCATAGGCGCGCTACTTTCCCACACAACGCGCAGCATTCCCGCGCGCGCTCAGCGCGTTTCTCTCGCACTTGTCGCCCTACTCCATACGCAACTTCTGCTATGTCTCCAGTCATTTGCGCATACAATGCACAGCTCTCCTGCAAAGCGCACCATAGGCGCAACACTTTCTCACGCTTTCGCGTTTCGCGTTCCCGCGCGCGCGCTTAGCGCGTTTCTCGCGCTTAAGTGCACTCCATTGTGCATCATCCAGGAGCATCCATCCATCGTCCAACCAGTTCCTAGGTGTGTCCCTTTTCATTATCAGACCATATTTAGCCTATTACGCTTTGTATTTCGTTATGCACCCTTACTTTACATCACTTTACCTCACTTACATACTTAGAGCGCTCCCTATTCGGCTCCGAGCCCTGGGAGAGCGCTTAGGTAGAACTTACATACTTTCATGTTCGTTTTGGACACCACAGCTTCCTACCACAGCTACCTACCACATCTTTCTACCACCATGTACTTGGCAGTTAGTTCCATGCAATGCATGCGTCCGTTGTCGTCGTCTTAAGGCCCTAGCATCAGTCTAAAGCTAGTGGCAGTATCAGTATCCATCTATATCCGCGCTTTTCACCATATTATCGTCTCTCTACACTTGTGCACTGCTTGCACTACCATCCCAGTTCTCTGCGCATTTTCGCCTTTCGCACTTTCGCCTTCCCGCACTTCGCGCATTTTTCGCGTTTCACTTTCCCGCGCGCGCCTTGAGCGCGTTTCTCGCACTTACATCGCCCTTTTGTCGCCTTTGATCAGGGTTGATCAGCATCATTTTGTGGATCCTTGCTTTCTTTGCTTCCCTTAAGGGTCGAACATATCGCACGGCATATCAAGACCCAACATAGAGAGTGTTTGCTTGTCATCTGACTTGCGTTTACCTTTGTTGTGTTACCCACAACAGGCTGTTGTGGTTGAGGTCAAGGTCGTTGTTTGCATCTGACTCATGGGCGGAATCTTGATCAGATGTTGCGGGGCCTTCACGGTAGCTGGTATCCGATGAAGAGCTTTGAGAACCATCATAGAAATGTAAATTGTAGCTGCCCTTCTTGACCCTTCGAGGCCGAAGTCTCCTGGCTGTGTACAACAGATGACCATCAGCCCTCCCCACTAAGAGAAAAGTAAGATAGTACATACCTTGTGAAGTCTCGAAGTCCTCGTTATTTTCGCCACCCTCAGGCTCTTCATCGCCACCCTCAAGCTCTTCATCGCCACCCTCAGGCTCTTCATCGCCATCCTTGGTGTCGTTGTCGCTATCACCTTCTACGTTGTCTTCACGGTGACAACCGTCAGCCTTCCAAACGATATACTAAATGAAAAATAATATACCTGAAGTCTTTCCACGTACGGAGCCATCATTATCCTCATCCTCATCTTCGTTAGCCTGGCTGTGTTCACGGTCTTCATTGGTCATATCATCATCGGCATCATTGTCGCTACCACCGTTCATATCATCATCCATGTGAGTGTCCGTAACGGGTACGTCATCGTCGATGTCAGGTGTATCTATGAAAGGGGTTAGTATAGTTATTGTTGTGAATGCCGTAAGTCATTACCTGGGGGATGGTCGCTTTGCAACTCCATTCCAGAAGAGACGGAGTCTGCTGTGGGTTTTAAGTGTTGTTTGCGAGGGCGAGCAAGGATTCGAGCATGGTCCTCAAAGGTCGTACCCGAGGAACATCGGGGTAAAGGACGAGGTTTTGGCCGGTTAGGGTCATCTGGAGCAGGAGATGACTCGGGGACAGCATTTCTTTGGCGCTTATTATTTTGTTTGGCGGGGGGGTTGATGGCAACACCACTGCGTGTGTGCATGACATAGGTGCCAGACACTGTGGGGTCATGAGTGCCAGTACCGGTAGCACCACGACGGGCTGCATTTCTGGTAGACGGTGCCATTGAAACGTAGGCGGGCTTGATACTGAGAAAAGGGGTGCTTTACACGAATGTTGAAGCAGGGCATCTTGTGAAACATGAAGTCTTACAGCTAGATGCTTTACACGAATGTTGAAGCAGGGCAGCTTGTGAAACACGAAGTCTTACAGCTAGATTTCAAGACTCGAAGTCTTGACAGGACGATAGAAGAGTACAGAAAACTAATGGTTACGAGTCAAAAGAAGAAAGATTCTTGTTTAAAAAACACGAACATTGTGGGTTTTAACTAATGGTAAGGCGCCCAATACACATCAAGAAATAATATTCCAAAGTTGTAATCCCGCCCAATCAACACCGAAACAAACAGAGGTACATTGAAAGAACATTGTTAGAAAAATGGAATATTCACCGCAAAGGATCATATACTAACTTATTGGGGATGGCCCACATTAAAAAAGCTTCGAAACTTACGAAAATGAGGGTCCAAATGGGTGATGGGGCGAATATGAGCTTCTCCGGTCATAAGAGTCCAGGCTACTGGCGGTACTGATGATGCCATGGTCATCATCAAAAATCTCCTCCAGTGTGTCGAGAAAAGAATGCTTACAATTATACGCGCCAGTATCCCTACCATATTTTGCATACCCCAAACTTTGATTATCTGTTGTAAGTAGAATGAAACGATTGTATAATTGTAAGATGGGGGAGGACATACCGATCGGTAGTTGGAATACAAAGATGTTGAGCATTCAAAATTCCCGCAGACAATGAAATAGAATTGAGTTGCTGGACATGTGCTTGCGCAGAGAACGAATAGATAGTGGTGCAGTGTTGAGGCATCCGACTTGTAGTCAGACAGCCAGACAGTGCTGGATGACGCGAAGTCACCCAGCCAAAGCGTGTCTGCCTCGAAGGCAGAACCATGCGATCAGGCCAGTCAATGCAGTGGAGACAAGGGCACATACCCCAAACTTTGATTTTCTGTTGTGAGTAGAATGAAACGATTGTATAAACGTAAGATAGGGAGAGGACGTACTGATCGGTAGTTACAATACAAGAATGTTGAGCATTCAAGATTCCCGCAGACGATGAAACAGAATTGAGTTGCTGGACATACGCTTGTGCAGAGGACGAATAGATAGTGGCGCAGTGTTGAGGCATCTGACTCGTAGTCAGACAGCCAGACAGTGCTGGGTGACGCGAAGTCACCCAGCCAAAGCGTGTCTGCCCCGAAGGCAGAACCATGCGATCAGGCCAGTCGATGCGGTGGAGACAAGGGTGGGAGATGAGGATGTCGTTGAAAAGTCCTGCGTGTAATCAATTAGAATAGAGTTAAATGGACACATACATTTGTAGAGGATGGATGTGGGCGAGGTGTTGAGGTAGGTAGACCGTAATCTGACTCGTAGTCAGACGGCCAGATAGCGCTGGATGACACGAAGTCATACAGGCAGAACTTGTCTGCCTCGAAGGCAGACCATGCGATGAGGCCAGAGGTTGAAGATGGGGGCAAATGATGAGGGCAGAGGGCAGACAATGAGTGGAAACGGGGCCAAACATTGATGAGATTACTAAATTGGTCGAAATCAGAAGGGCTTTCCCACACTGAATCAAAGTGTGAAGTCCACTTTGAACGCTTTTCCTCATCCTCGACGCTACTCCTCATCGCGGCGGCTCACATTCCCCAGCCTATTCCCCAGCCTCTACAGTCTACCTTCGTGGTGGGCGTACTTTGAGCAGCAACTTCGTGTTGTTTGCTACTATTGATTGCTTAGACTTCGGTCGGCAGTCTTGTCATCCACCAGCTCAGTATCGTGCTACGACCGCCACCACTGTCTTCGACCGCCACAGTTGTTCCACTGCCACCATTGTCTTCCACTGTAAGTATTGTCTTGCCGCCACCACCACAATTGTCTTCAAGTGCCGGCATTGTTTTGCCACAGCCAGAACTGAACTGTCTTAAATCGCCGTAACTGTCTCCAGCCGCTAGAACAACCTTCTGTTTGGCTTCACTGATTCATTTGCACGCTGCTGCTGATATACTGATCTTGCTCAATACTGCTGTAGATCTTCATAGGTGAGTACTTTCTTTATATTTGGTCACGCTATCACAACTGACATTGGGTCTTTAACTAGAATCGTTCAAGACTCCTGTCGCGCTCTACGGTAAGTTTCTTTACTACATTGATTTATGCTATCATTACTGACATCATGCCCTCATCAGATCTCTCCCATCTTTCAAGACTCTTACTGCCTTCGTGGGTCTTAGACTTCATAGGTAAGTACATTCGTTATTCGTCACGCTATTATGACTGACATTAGGTCTTTAACCAGACTCGCTCAAGACTCCTGTCGCCCTTTACAGTAAGTTCGTTCATTACACTGATTCATGCTATCATCACTGACACCACACCTTCGTCAAATTTCTCCTCAATCTTTCAAGACTCTCTCTCTCGCTATCTGCCTTCGTGGTAGCATTTTAATCGGCAGTGACTTTGAGTCGCTGTTTCGTTTAAATTTCCTTCCTCAGTGACTGCGAGTCGCTGTATCTTTCCCTGTTCTCAATATCACGGTTCCTGGAGCTACAACCATGTCGATTCCTGTCTTCAAGCCATTCATGCGCGATGGTGACCATACATTTTGGCATCTTCGTACCTCTACTACTCTTGATTGACGATATCCAGGTTACCTGACTGCCACTGATGCTTTCTGTGTGGCTACATATAACCACCGAGTAATCACAACTCCCAACATGAAATTCATTCCCCAACCCTTCGACAATGAATCCGACATCATTCAAGTGCGCGCAGATGGTAGATATTGGGCCCTGGATCCCTTCCAGTGGCCACAGATGTATGACGACTTATACGCTCGAAGTTTTGCAATCCCACGCCAGGAAGCCTATGCGGACGACTCAAGCATGATGTACGCATGGTTCAGACCAACTTTTGCAAGTGACTTCACGCCCATTTCTCCCAGCAATCTTTTTGGTCAACTCAAGACCAACATTGTCAGCCACCTCAAGCGCTTGTACGAGAAGGCCAATACGCAGGTTAGCAATTACAAGGTTGCAAGGTCCCACAAGGAGGATCATGTAGTTGGGTGGGCGCATGCAATGCGCGCTGTCTACGAGCGCTTCCAGCAAGCCATGGCCTGGCGCGACATCGTCATAATCGTTGCTGAATATCAGCGCTGGTTTCTCGATATCTGGGCGGTTATAGACTATTACAAAATTATCGAGCCTCACATGCAATTCGTCGACACTATGCACAAGGTTAACCCCAAATGGATGGGTTGTTTCACCGAAGATGTCGCTATCGCTATGAAGGTGCACGCTGCTGAAGTTCCTGTCTGGCTTATTCACGATGCCAGACTTGTCAATGCCAACATGAACATCATCAAAGTCGTTTCCTTCACACCACCCGATGACCTCGTCATCGGCATGTATCATGATCCCGTCAAACTCTTCACCCAACCATTCGACATCATCAACAGAGGTCCCAATAATCGCAAGCGTCATGAGGCCGCTCGTCAGCCGTATTCCAACTTTGAGAAGCTACCAGTTCCAAAACCCCAAGTGGAACAGATGGTAATGAGGGAGTCATTGGTAGGAAGGGCGTGCGTAGACAAGGGGAAGGCCAAAATGAGTGCCAAGCCTGCGCCGTGTAAGTTTAGCATTCTTCTTTCATGGTTGTTGTGACTAATTAATTCCTCAGACAATGCAACCGCTCCGCGTCAGAATAAAGCTGTATCTGGCCGTGACAAGTGGTCTGATATAGATCACCCTTATATGCCGCCAATGAACTATTTCTTCAAGATAGCGTTGGAGGACGCAAACAAAGATATTATTCGCATCAAGCATCCCAGAGACAAAATGGATGATGGGTACTCGCTTCCCAATCCAGGTTTATTCATTAACATTCTTTCCCCGCAATCCTTGGTGAAGTACCTTGCCAACTGGCTGGCATGCCGCCCTACCTGGATAGAACGTGTCTATGACAAAAGGCCTCGACCTCTTCCTCGCGCACAGAACTGGCGCGATTTCTTGATATCTCAGCACGCTCAGGAACCTTCGAACATGCGGACGTCCGGCAAGACCAGCAAGTCGAAAGCAGCGACTGCTTTACTTTTCCAAAAGGAAGTTCTGGTACTGCGGGCCTTGTGGGCAGGACCCACAAATGTTCACTGGCGTGGAAAGGATATAGCCATTTTCACGCTCGACAATCCCCCCGCAGATCTCGCACGCCAAATCGTGTATGAAATCTGTGAGCAAAGTTTTCGATATGAGCTTCTGGACCTGGATGAGCATCTTGGGCGCGATGCACGTAAGGACAAGGAGGCGAGGAAGGAAAGGATGGAGCTTCTTCGTAGCATCTTCCTGTCGAAGTCGTTGAAAGTTTGGAACAGGGACTTACCTCAAGAGAATGACGGACTCAATGCGCCATATTTTGACACCGCTTTACCATATTTCGAAAGTTTCCGCAAGGTGTTGTCAGCGTGGGAGCACTTTCCCGAGTCCCTCAAACAACCTTTTGATGCTACCGGACGTGAGCACAACATATGGAAGGGGATGAAGGAATGTTGTCTCTTTTACGTTCAGTCTTATTTCGACAATACTGGTCGTCCACCTGTCGTTCCTCACTTACTGTATTCGGTCGCCTAGATCTAGATGCTGTGTGCTCTTTTCCCATCACAATCATTGTCATCTTACGAATTTAATTCACATATACCCCCAATAGTCAATAATTTGTATACCACCTTGTGTTACCCATTGCTGTTGCAATCATATGGGATTTTGTCATGGTTGAACAGGTTATCTTAGATATCAACGTTTATTTTCCGCATACCACTAATATTTCAGTTTCACAGAGCAGAGTGTACACAAACAGGTAGAGTTCCTTCCTTCACATTTGCTAGCCCTCATTTGCTCCAAAGGTTGATCGACATATTCAACAACTTTTTCGTCTGTGTATTCGACGCAAGTTTGGGACTTCGAGTCCCTCCTAGTAGTTGACTTTGTGTCGACGTTGACCTTGGTGCAGGCTTCGTGCTTGCCTTCGACTATCTCCTAGTCGACTTCGGGTTGACACTGACCTTAGTGCGGGCTTCGTGCTTGCCTTCGTGTTGACACCAACCTTAACGCGGGCTTCGTGCTTGGCTCTCAATATCTCATTATGGTCTCATCCAACCCTATCGCTGGGCCATCCACTCCACCCTCTCACAATACGCAGCACGAACTCATCACTTCTTCAATGGTGACGAGGAGGCGGCGACCACAGCAAAGCAGCAAGTTTCATCTTCCTATAGCCCCCCCACTACTTGTACTTCCCGGAAGAAAACACCTCACCCAACAATCACTCAATAATCCAGGAAGGTCACAGCAGCAACAGCCTTTGCGCGATGCCGATACTGCTAACCAGCATGATAGTCCATCCGCTGGGAATACTTTAGAGCGTGAAGAACACTCGTCTTTCTACAGCTCACTACACTACGTCTCCGATGGTGATTCAATCCTACCTTCCCCCTCGAAGGGCCGCCAAAAGAAGATGAATCAGTGGCAACGCTGGACAAACGAAGTCATTCCTTCCTTGATCGCTCCATACCTTACATACTTGCGCAAATCGACTTCTCTTCGCGATCGAATTGAACTGCAGCCAGATGGAGTTGCTACCTTTCAGTGCAAATTGTCTTGTTGACGGAGGGTTCTCGATATCACTTGCATACTCTTCAATTGTATGTCTCTCTTATTACCTGAGTTATTGGTTGTCTGATAATATCGTAGATATCGAGATATTACGAATTGAGTGCTGCACTTGCGCGCCTGCTCCCCTTCAGCTCCTGTCTTGCGGTTACTTTGCCTGCTCTCCCATCGCTCCTTCCCTCGCTGTCGACCTTCAGTTGCTGGAACTTGTCAAAACCTTGTTCGTACATACCACTCCCAACACAACTGCTTGGTGCGAAACACTCGAAGTCTTTCTGGCTGGCCGCGGGTATCACCTTACCACCAAGGTGAGTCAAGTGCCTATACTGAGTTTTGAAGTATCAATATTTTTATAGGATAGTCTTTGTCGTCGGTTTGGTAACGCCTATCATTGGTACTCTGTACTCTTCATGAGTGCTGATGATCACCTGTCCAATGTCATTGGAACTCATCGCCCACTTCCACCACCATCAACTGAGGGACTAACATGTCCAAGTGACTATCTAAGGTCTCGTTGTCCGATTTGTTTTGGCTTGGATGATTGGCGAAAAAGTAGAACTCTTAATCTCAAGTAAGTTGTTTCAATATTAGCAACTAAAACAATTCTAAAGTATATGATAGACCTGACGTCCATACTTGTATTGACGCATGCTTCACTCAAAAACGTTCATCGGACCAATGCGGTGGAGGGCCGGATCCCCCAAACCCAGTCAGATTGGTTTTCCTTTCGGACGATGAGGTGACATCGATGGAGGTTCATGTGTGGAGTTGTCGCGGCAGACCCCTTGATCGGAGTCGCAAGAGAAAGCGACCTGCAGCCACAGAAGAGGAGGGGGATGACTACGAGGATGGCATGCGAGTCCCGACGTCTGTGCTAGATGGCTGTGGTGATTCTTTTCTTGCCGCTGATGAGAAACGTGAAAAGGCTAGTACCCAATTTTTTGCAGATACAGGCGTGATGGCCATGTTATGTCGGCACGATCGTGTATTATGGCTTGCCAACATGACGTCGGCGGGAGAAAAGCAACACTATGCTCTCGCCCTCATCAAGAAACTTTTCGATAATCTCCCTACCGATATGACCGTTGGCCTGTTGTATGACATTGGTTGTCAGCTTCATCGAAGTTGTCTCAAGTACCGACTCCTCGATGATGCGGTTCTTCGCCGTATAACTTTCGCGATATCAGTCTTTCACGCCTACGGCCACCAATGGGCATGTCAAATTATATACCATCCTCGCAAATGTGAAGGCTTTGGCCTTTCAGATGGAGAAGGTTGCGAGCGTTTATGGAGTGCACTGAAACATCTCATTGCTCTGCTATGCGTTTCTGGGGTGAGTGTCTCTGTTTCGAAAATGATTGCATATGAGCTATAGCCGCTTATGACCATACTTGCCATGGTCATATTATTCATTCACCTCTGACTATACTTTACATGTTTGCTTCTTACTGACCGCTTTTTCAGTTTCATCAGCGACTGTTTGTCCTCAACACTCAAGTCCAGCACCTCGATGAGAAGAACCTTAGTTTATATGGCAACTGGTTGATCCGGAGGTGGAATAACTGCATCAAGAAGAAGAGTACTGCAACGCAGGCTCTACGTGAGCTTTCAGTCGATGAGATCTGTGTACTGCCAGGAATGGCAATCGCAAGTTGAATATCAGACGAAACCCCTGCCTCATAAGTGCTACCGTTCGTGATGTACAATTGCAATATTCATGCACGTGAACTCGACAGGAAGATCGAAGACAAATAATGACGAGGAAATCTCAAAAATTCTCTCCCTTGAGAAATCTCTTATTGAGATTGATGGAGCGTTGCAACGCATGGAAACACAACTTTGTATGGGAAATGTTGACAATCTCACTGACTACAACCTTCGTCTCATTGAAGAGTGCGCTCACTGATCAAGAGTCGCAGACACTTTGAGCCGCTGGAAGACAAGACTTGGCATCAGTCAGCGCACCCGTCTAGAACAATTACGTCGCAACATATATCTACAAGTCCGTTTAGACGCTCAAGCTCTTAAAACGCGTATCCGCGAACGACTTCAACAGCGCAAGTTCGAAATTGAGAAGCTTGAACGCTCTTACAGGCAAGCTGTAAACGGTACTTATGTTCTAACATGTACATGAGGACCTCAACTGACTGCATTTTTTTTGTCACAGAGCGCAAGCTTATTTCCCATGTCGATGCTGCAATCCAGCGGCGCAATCCTACAATACGAAAGCTCGTATCCACATATAATAACCTATGTGCTGATCTTAGTGCTCTTATCAGACAACACCGCAGTCCTCCGAATGCTATACCACCCAACCCCATCTCTCCTACCGGTATTTTTGATCTTGATATTGATGCTGATATTTGGGAGGACATTGGACTTGACGATGTTGTGCTGGAACCCCCTGATTGGCTAGCTGATGAGGTCACACGTGCTGCGATCAGACTGCTGCTTGAGATTGACCGATGCAACGAAGAAGAGTCTCATGTGAAGGTAGAGCACTGTGCTCTGCAAGAGTGGGCCATGCGTGAGTGGGATGGTCTACAGAGGGCGCGTGCACATGCAAGTGAGTTTTGGACGCACCTCACTAATATTCCATGCTGACTTTCGAAGATGATGATGAAGCGATCCTCTATCACATGAATTGCCGTGCTCGACAATTCATTGTCCTTGTACTGGGGTGGCAGACGAAGGTTCGTCCCATTCCATGTGCATGGCCTATGCCTGACTGCTGGGGGCTGTCTCAAACCGAACTTGCTAATGGGACACCTGTGGTGTACCCTGATGACCCTGATGACGAAGATCATGTATCGGATGATGGAGATGACTGGGAATCTGATATTGGCTGTGGTGATGAGGAGCTTATGGATGTTTTAGAAGATATTGCATTAGCGGATCAGTATAGAGGGCAAGAGGAACATGACATCGAGGGTGACTATGTAATTCATGAATCATTGATAGATAGCCCAACAAAATGTGTTAGATTTAATTTGTAGTACTCTAGGTGTGCTGCACAATCTAAATCTGATGAGGAAAATGTAATTGGTACTTGATATCAGAGACGTCGAGAATGTGCATATCACGTGATTTGACCATTATGGTCGGAAATTTCCAAAGGTGCCTTGCAAGGGACCCCACGTGAGTTTGATTGAGGGGTTGCAAGAGCACCTGAAAATTTTCCAAGTTAATTGGAAAGAACTTGCTTGTGTGTTGCACAGAGCCGCAGTGCAAGGAGCTGGTCAATTTACCCTCACTTGCAATATTTCCGGCTTCCAAGGCACTTCAACAAATGGTGTTGGTAGGATCAGTGGGAAGGCCTAGTTGCTGATCGAACGGTAGGCGGGAGAGCCCAGAGGATGCGTATATGGTCGGTGGGAGAGCCCAGTTGCTAATTGAATGGCAGGCGGGAGAGCCCCGATGACATGTATAGGGTGGGCGGGAAGGCCCAGATAGTACTAGAGAGGTAGGCGGGAGAGCCTGAACAGTGCCATTAGCTAGTCAGATTTATCTATTCCCCCCCTCTCTAGATAGCATCCCAAATTGAGATTGGCGCCTACATTCCTCTCTTCACCTCTCATACCTCCATTAGAAAGATTTGCTTCATTGGCGATGACAAACAATTGCCACACTATGGTCAGGATGATATCCACGACCTGAAGAGCATCTTCGAGGTCAAGCATCTCAAGGACCATGCCCTCTTCCTGAACACACAATACAGGATGCCTCCTCAAATTGGAAACTTCATCTCTCAAGCTGTATATTATGGCCTACTCGAGTCGAATATGCAACACCCCGTCACGACGAGAGGATGGCTTATCATTTTATCAACATTCCCAGCCAGGAACAGTAACATAGAACTAGCCGGAAGAACCTTGGACAGTGCCAAACCATTTTCCATATTGCTACCATATTGCAAGCAAAGAATAAGCGATTCCGCATTATCACCCCTTACGACGCTCAGCAGACATGATATAAGTAAAGCTCCCACATTTTATTGCATATTATCTTTGCCACCCCCCCCTTCCTTGCACACCCCCCTGTCGTCTTATGACAGACTTGCAAGTAAAGCTCCCCACATTTTATTGCATATTATCTTTGCCACCCCCCTTCCTTGCACACCCCCCCCGCTTTGTCTTCTAACAGACTTGCAAGTAAAGCTCCCACATTTTATTGCATATCTGAGTCTGTGCCACCCCCCCGCTTGTCTCTCTAACAGACTCACAAGTAAAGCTCCCACATTTTATTGCATGTTGCTCGCAAGACAATTTCATTACTCAATGACTAGTGCTGCACTCAGTGTGATCTATCACTCTTTTGCGCCTGCCCACCACTCCCTCAGCAGTCTCAAAGTGTGTCTCATGGCCATTATTTATTCTAACAGATTATTTGTCATAGCTAGTCTGTCTATTTGAATCTGTCATACACTGCTGGTGCCCGCCCACCATCACAGTTCTCATTAGACTTCTCTTATGTTTAGGACGCTGTTTCAAGCCAAAAATCCTGCAGGTTTTTGTCCCATATCAAAATCTTGTCTCAAGTGCATATACTGGCCTTGCATACCTAGTACTACTCCTTCTATGAATGTACAAATCGTGAATTTTTATGCCGTCAAAATGTCTGAAAAAGGACCCCTATCACCCCTATTTATGATGGGAAAGCCCTCCTAATAAATGCCCTGGGACATCCCAGAGACATGCTAGAGTGATCCCGGTTGGGATTGGGAAAGATCAAAATAGGTCCTTGGGATGGCCCAGATACTTGCTTCAGTGTGGACCAGGACATCCCAGTACATGGGGTAAAATACTGGGAATACCATCCTAGAACACACCCACTAGGTCCTTTGCTAGCCACAAACACATAGACCTAAGAGGTCATTTCAAGTGGTTGACTGAAGTGATGCAAGTTGTCCTATACGATAGCGCTATGCGACGTCCAACTAGCGACAGCGAGAAGAAATCAAAAGAAGGGAAAGCGAGGGATAAGGTATGATAGTGCAAGTGGAATGCCTGATAGCAACTAGATTATAGCTCGACTACCGACAGCGATCCCGACGTTGTGAAGATCAAACTTATGAAGGAACTTTAGCGATGCGCACTCGAAGCAAGTCAAGCGACACGCGATCAGAGAGATCGGCAAGAGCGGAATCGATTGCACCAACACCAGGATATAGCGACTAAAGTGACTCCAACACCAGCAAAGGTCCGGGGAAGGGAAGTACTGTACTGTATGTGCGACGGGTCATTTTATCATACTGCGTAAAAGTTCGGGAATGGGTAGGTGAGAATAGTAGTGACACTGATGGAGGCACGATGTAGCGACAGGTAATAAGACATGCAGCGCAGCGGAACACGAGGATGCATGTAATAAGACCTGCAACTGATGAGTAGCGACGTTTAAGGAAAAATAACGCACCAGCGGAGGTAGGTGGACATAGGCAGGACATGGGAGGACGAAATACCTAGGCGTCGGGCCGGGCAGCGCGCTATGGGAGAAAAGCGGTTCCAAAGCGGATAGCTTGGGAGCTGAATAGCACTGGTGATTAGCGCTTTACTCCTTTCCTCAAGGTAAGGCAAATTGTGCCTATGACACTCATACGCGCCTAGCGCTGGTATGATTGTCACAGCGGTCAGAAGATGCGGATGGTCTGATTGCATATGCAAAACGCCAGGCTGCTGTCCGTCATGACCTGTCTGCAAGCTTTTCAGGAATGTGGAGGGATGTGGGAGCTCTAGTAAGTGCAGGTTTGGATGATTGTGCAGAAGGCCAGCTGGACGACGGACCTTCTATTGATGAACCCCCCATGCGAAGATCTTGATGGGGTTAATTAGCTTCTGTACCTGCTTATGTAGTGACGTCTTCAATTAATCAACCTTGAATCTCAGATTTTCAGGATAGTGCAGTCCGGCCATCCACTGTCAGAGTAATAAATGCTCCGGCCTTCGGACGGAGGATCATGGCAGGACATCCTGGAAGATACATGGATAAGTAGCCTACAGGGATGTATCACATCAATGGATAGTTGAGCCAAGGGATGTATCCCAGTTTTAGGGCTATAGCCCATAATGATATATCCATCCACCAATATCAGGTGCACGCCCGTGGGCAGCCTGAGGGATACGACTGAAGCTTGAAGGATAATCCATACAACAGCGCATTCTTTTTGACATTTGTGCAAGCGCTGTGCTAGTCTGACGACATGCCGAGATAAACAAGCGAATAAGCTGAAGCTTCTTCACCACCTCGAGTAGTGATGTTCCGGCCTGGCTTGGCTCGAAAGCCCCGGCTTTGGCCCGGCTTCAGATGGCCAGGGCTTTCAGAAATTGAGCACTTCAGTCACCCCTGTTAAAGTACCTCTTAGGTACATATATTCTGGCTTACAATCTCACCTAAGAGGCATGATCTTAGGCGGTATTCCCAACCAATGCAGGTTATATCCCGGGCCAATTCAACACTTTCCCCACGAAGCCTGGGCCTGCTGGGCCAATGTATTTGATCTGTCCCATGACCCATCTGGGTCATCCTAGATACTTTATTATATGAATACACAGGGGGTGTCAGGGGTCATTTCTCATGAAAAATTACCCACACATTTAGACACTTAGAGTATAATGTTTGTCTTCATAAGGTCCTTGACCTATGAATGGAGGAAGTGAAAAGAAATATGTGGCGAGGGGGGGGGGGCGGCTTGTCTTTGAAGATGTGGAAGAATGTAAGTTGGGTAAGGTTCTTGACCTACAAAATCCAAAGCAGCTGGAGGAGGCAGGAAGAAATTTGTGGTAGACAGGGGGGTTGTCTTTGAAGATGAGGGAAGAATGTAAGTTGGGTAAGGTTCTTGACCTACAAAATTCAAAGCAGCTGGAGGAGGCGGGAATAAATTTGTGGTAGACAGGGGGGTTGTCTTTGACCTAGAAATCCTTCTTGACTGTGCCCTCACTCCAGATACTGACATATTTCCACTCCATCTGGTTAATTTGCACAATTGGAACATACTCTGCACCACAATACTCCAGGTTTTATTGGAGTAAGTGTCATCACATATTACTGTGGATGTAAGCATAAAAGCGGAAAGAAAAAGGCAGTGACTGGTCAATGCAGGATAGCCCACCGCTGTTTTATATGGTGACTGGGCTGACCTGGCTCTCTCCTATGCATGATGCGGGCTAGCCCACCGATATGGTGACTGGGCTGACCCAGCACTCTCCTATGCATGATGCGGGCTAGCCCACCACTGGTTTATATGGTGACTGGCCGGCCCGGCACCTCTTCTACGCATGATGCGGGATAGCCCACCACTGGTTTATATGGTGACTGGGCCGACCCAGCTCTCTCCTACGCATGATGTGGGCTAGCCCACCGCTGGTTTATATGGTGACTGGGCTGACCTGGCACTCTCCTACGCATGATGCGGGATAGCCCACCGCTGGTTTATATGGTGACTGGGCCGGCCCGGCACCTCTTCTATGCATGATGCGGGATAGCCCACTGCTGGTTTATATGGTGATTGGGCCGACCCGGCTCTCTCCTACGCATGATGTGGGCTAGCCCACCGCTGGTTTATATGGTGACTGGGCTGACCTGGCTTCTCTCCTATGCATGATGCGGGATAGCCCACCGCTGGTTTATATGGTCACTGGACTGGCCCGGCACTCTCCTACGCATGATGCAGGATAGCCCACCGCTGGTTTATATGGTCACTGTGCTGGCCCGGCACTCTCCTACGCATGATGCGGGGATAGCCACCACTGGTTTATATGGTCACTGGGCTGGCCCGGCACTCTCCTACCCATGATGAGATAGCCCATGTCTGGGATGCCCCACCATCTTTGAATTCTAAGATGGGATAGCCCATGATATATTTGCACTTTCCAAATATTGTCTAATAGCAATCACTCAAGAGTTTCGGATATTGCTACAAAAGACTATATATCATATGAATCCGAGTCAAGATCTATATATGCTCCAGCCAATGCAGCTTCCTCCAATTCATCTATCAATTCATCATTCTCCCTCTCCTCATCAGACTCCCAGTCATTCTCAGAATCATACACAGCAGCTGTGCCATCAAGACAGCTTGGTTGATAATACATATTAGCAGCCTCAGCAAGGTCATTCGGGGTGGGGCCCCATGAGTCAGGCAATGGCCAAGCACAAGGGATAGGACGAACTCGAGATTGCCAATGCACAACAAGACCACTCAACAAGCGAGCACGGAGGTCGAAATGAAAGCAGAGATCTTCATTTTCTTCTAAATATACTATCAGTGTCACGGCAGTAGAATGTTGTACAAACTTACCTGCACGAGTGCGAGCCTCCTGCAAGGCATCCCACTCAGCCATCATCCACTCCTGGAGAACACAACGTTCTCGCATGATACGAGCCCTTTCCTCATTGCACCGGTCTACCTCAAGTTGAAACTTAATTGCTGCGCGCATATTTTCATCCGCTAGCCAGGCAGGTGGGGCCATGTCATTGCCGTCAAGTCCAACATCTTGCCAGATGTCATCATCTACGTCAAGCTGAAAGATACCAGTCGGAGAGATAGAATGAGGCGCTATCGCACCGGCAGGAGCCTCGCCTCGTCGAATTAAGTCAATTAGTTTACCACAGAGGTTGTTGTAAGTTGTGACGAGCTTTCGTATGGTAGGGTTGCGCCGTTGAATTGAAGCTTCTGCATGCACATGAAGCTTGTGCTCTAGATCAAAGATAATCACGGACATGTCAACATATTGAAACGAGCTACATACCATTTACTGTCTGACGGTACGACCGTTCAAACCTCTCAATTTCAAATTTGCGCTGGCGCAGACGTTCACGAAGGCGTGCCTTGACAGCTTGCGCATCAAGACGAATTTGAAGGAATATACTACGTCGGAGTTGTTGAAGATCGTTAAGTTGCCCGATGCCAAGGGATGCCTTCCATCGTCGCAGAGTATCAGCAACTTTGGACCGGTGGGTGCGTTCGTCTGCAAGTCGAAGGTTGAAGTCAACATTGTTAAGAGTGTTGCCAGCACAGAGCTGCATCTCAAGAGCACGAACGGAATCGTCCAGGTTACTGAGTGTTCGCTCGAGGGTCAAAATCTTCGATATTTGCTCGTCATTGTTGGTTTTTGATCTCCCTTTCTATTAATGTTAGGGAAATATGAAAATATAAAATAAAGCACGCACTGGATAATGGTTTCGTTGGTGCTCGACCTGAGCCCTCCATTCCGGGCGTATATTAGCTTCATCTACAGAGAGTTGTCGAAGCACATGTTCTGCACTGCTCTTCTTTGTCTGGCAACGAGTCCATCTGCGACTCAGCCACTCGCCAAATGTATCGAGATTTTTTGCCGTCAAGATGCCGAACTTGCGCATTCAGCACAAAAAGCCGTTGGTGGTACTATCTTAATGTTAGTCAGTCAAGGTATACGAATTAAGATACTTACCCCAGAGACCCGCAAGGGGGGGATCAACATCTTGAGAGCGCTCCACAGGCGCTCACAGCCCTCTCCGTCAGAAAGTCCAAACCCTTCACATTTGCGAGGGTGATAAATAAGCTGACAAGGCCACTGATGTCCGTACGCGTGAAATACGGATATAGAAAAGACGATACGTGAGAGAATACCTTGCTCGAGAAGTTGGTATTTAAGACAACTACGCTCGAGCTGACATGCAATATCATACAAGATACCGACGGTCATGGTTGGCGGAAGATGTTCGAAGAGCTTTTTAATAAGTGCAAGCGCATAATATTGTTTTTTCACCTGCTGATGTCATATTGACCAACCATAAGACACAATCATGACGACAAAGTAAGGCCATGATTCCCGTATCGGCGAAGAAACGGGTGCTAGCTTTCTCTCGTTTTTCGTCGGCAGCAAGAAAAGATTCCCTGCAGGCATCCAATGTCGATACAGGGATGCGCATACCATCTTCGTACCCGTCTTCTGTCACCTTCCTGGCTTCTTGCGTTTTGTTCCACGACCAGGTAGGGAGCCTCGACAGGCAAGTACGTGAGCTTCCATCCGTGCGACCTCTTCGTCCGAAATGAAAACTGATCGTGTTGGGTTTGGCGGATCTAGGCCATCGGCCCCACGTGAATTGGCTGACCGTTTCTGTGTGAAGCATGCATCGATGCATACATGGCAATCTAGCCTGCAAAAACATCAGCACAGGGGAAAACACGGTAGGATCGACATACTTGAGACGCGAACCGTGATCCTTTTGCCAATCCTGCATTCCAAAACAAACTGGACAACGTGAACGGAGATAATCGCTTGGTTGTGCGGGCAAGACTTCGTCCCCCAAAGAACGCGAAGGAAGATGTTGTGAAATGAGGCTGTATACGTGGTCTCCAGCATTCATCACAAGGACTGAGTACCAATGATACGCGTTACTGAAGCGGCGGCGAAGATTGTCCTGAAGATGCCAGAGTTAGCTTACTTCAAAAAAGAATCGTGCAGGCAGACCTTGGTAGAAAGTTTGTAACCCCGAGCTGTTAGAAAAACTTCCAATGCTTCACACCAGGCTGTTGTATTGGGGGTGATCCGTACAAAAAGAGTCCTAACGAGCTCTAGTACACGTAGGTCAACAGCAAGAGATGGAGCTATGGGTGCACATGCAAATAGCCCCAACTTAAGAAGTTGAAGGGGTGCGGGTGCGCAGGGGCAGCAGTCAATGTTCAAAACCTCTAAATCTGGACTACGGTCAATTCGAGCCACATAACAATATGGTGAGTTCGTACAATTGAAAAAAACACAAGTCACTTCTAAAGTCCTCCTGTGGCATGAAGCCGTACACTCGACAGGATCATTTTGAAGTGCAGGCCGATGACGGAGCGAAGAAGATTTGTATTGATATGTGAGGTATGGACCGATTAGTGAAGGAATCACTTCGTTTGACCAGCGTTGCCACTGATTGAATTTTTTCTGCCGCCCATTGGAGCGGAGGGATCGAGGAGCGGAGGGATCGGAAAAGAAGTGGACATCGTCATAAAACGAAGGCCTGTCCTGGTCATTCGGATCAGGAGGTGGGACATCAAGCCGAGGATTGGAATTGGAAGCAGTTTGTTGGGCGAAATACCGCCTACCCGGAAGTACTAGAACTGGAGGAGGACCTGGAAGATGAAATGTGTTGCTTCCTCATGGTTTCCGGCGCTTCTTGACCATGGACGGTGTGATTAATATTTGCTGCGAATGACGACGGACAGGAGTTGCAGGAGTAGACGTCGAGGCGATATTCCGTGGATGTGGTCCTCCATCCATGGTAGATGTTTCTGATAGGCACAAAGCCTGCAAGAATATTGTGACTGACTCGAAGTCAGTCAACAAGCACAGAGGAACACGAAGTCCCAGTTCGTATGACCTATGTAGCAAAAATTAGTAGATACTAGCCTGGGAGGAGGATAATGGTCATGAACGCCAGTGATCAACAAACAGTGAATAGCACCGGAGCAACAAGTCAATAGAATTCACCAACAGAAATTGTACATGAAAGAACCACGCTGCGTAGCAACTCACATCAACGAACAAATACAGAAGCGAACAGAAGCGAGTGTAAATCGTCTATGGACCCGCGTAAAGTATATGAGGGACCACGGGGGGGCGACCTGTGTTGTCGTAAAATGATTGTACATAAAACAGGGCACATTGCTTCATGCGTTGCCACTTCTCTCCCTCGGGCATCGACTCGGTGAAAAGGCTGTTTGAGATCTTGAGGAGCACCGTCCCATGCGATCAACACTTGACGAAAATTCTCGAAATATGGAAGAGCATCCTGGAAAGACTCAGCATTAAGTCCATCATTCCGAGTCGAAAAATCCTTATCCCACATGCTGAGGGCATGCTGGGGAAAAATTCCACGGAGCAACTCCATGCGACGCTTCTTCGCCTCCCGATCCAGCCGCATATGACCGGCAAGATGTTCATCGAGTTCCAGAAGGTCGTATCGGAAGCTTTGCTCGCAAATCTCGTATATGATCTGTTGAATGAGACGATGCGGCGGATTCTCGAGCGTCGCTGCTTCGATTTTCTGACCCCTCCATTGCAACATCTGGGATCCAGTCCAAAACTGGCGTAGGAGCGATAATTCATCTCCAAAGAACAGGTCGAGTTTGGCTTTGGACTTGCCAGTCTTGCCTGATGGCATCTGACCACTTGACGACGAGGGCTGTGGTGTTGTTGGCTGCGTGATCAATAGATCACGCCAGCTTTGGGACCGAGGGAGCGGAGATGGAGGCGACATATAAACATGCCTCAGCCACGACTCACGGCATGCCAACCAGTTAGCGAGATATTTCTTCAGAGACTGCGAGGAAAGGACGTTGACAAATAATCCAGGGTCGGGGAGCCTGTATCCCTCATCCATTCTTGCGTGGGTTGGCTTGACACGACTCAAATCTTTGTCCGCGTGAGTCATAGCCGATGCGAAGAAGGTGTTGATGTTGGGCATGAACGGGTGAGCCACGTCGCACCATTTGTCACGTCCAACTTGAGACTGGTTCTGGCGCAGAGCGGTCGGTTCATCTAGATAATTGTTAGATAAGAATGGTGAACCGAAATTAGACACTGCACTCACATACTGCGGACTTATTTTTCGTGGTCTTGGTGGGCGCTTTACCCGATGACGGCTCTCTGGAAGCTGCAAAGCGATTGACTTCGGTTTGATCCATAGGGATCTCTTCAAAAGTAAGGTACGGTTGACGAACCGCAGCCTGGCGTTGATGATCACTTGGACCCTTGTAATGGATATCGAAAGGTTGAGCGAAGTTCTTAATGGGATGGAGGTACATCCCAAACACAAGGTCGGCAGGAGTGAAGGGAATGACTTGGCGGATGTTAATCTTATCATCGACGAGCCTGACATCTCGTATCAACCACACAGGTACACCAGCCTTGTGGAGCCTCAACGCGATAGCGGAGTCTTTGGTGAAGCACCCCATCCAAGTCTTGTTGACCCCGTGCGCTTTGTCCTCAAATTTCAACCGCGGCTCAAAGATCTCAAGGTAATCCATCATGCTCCATATCTCCAGAAATCGCCTCTGAAACTCGGCCAAGATCATCACAATATCTCGCCAAGCTCACGTCTCTTTGAAGCGTTCAAAAACAGAGCGCAACCCGGTGACCCATCCAACAACCGTGTCTTGCTTGTTTTCTCGGAACAGCTTGTAGGAGCCGACGCGCTTGTTAGCCCGCTCGTACAGTCGAAATAGGTGATCACGGTGGGTGGACTTCAGCTTGCCAAAGACATGACCAGGAGATAGTGGCTCAAAATCGTCAGAAAAAGCTGGCGACCACCAAGCATACCACAGGTCAGTGCTAGGATCATGGAATTCGCGTCGTGGAATGGTAAAACTCCAGGTGTAAGCGTCTGCGTACATTTGAGGCCACTGGAAAGGATCCATCGCCCAAAACTTCCCATCCGCCCTCGCTTGCACAATATCGGAGGGATTGTCGTATAGTTGGGGAACGAAAGTCATATTAGGCGAAGTGAAAACGAGTTGACCGTCATAGGCGAGAGAGCGTGCGTCTGTAGCTGTGATAGCATCTATATCAAAATTAGAGGAGGATCACAGGACAATCACCAAGGGCACTTACTGTCACCGTCGCGTAAGAATGGTTTAAATTCACGATGTATTGTCAGAGGCATCGTCAGAGGGACTGCGAATAACGAAAAGGTGACTATCCGATGAGAGTGAGTAATCGAGCGACGAACCAATAAAGGCACGGTAAGTGCAAGCTAAGAGGAATCTGAACGTGATGAAGGGTACTGTAACCGAAGTTAGAGTAGCGAGTGCTATTGCACAGTAACACGAAGTCACTGGAATAGTGTTGTCTACCGCAAAGGCAGAATAATCGACACCGGCGATGGGAGGAGAAGGAAGAGTTGGAAAGAGCAAAGGAAAAGGTAAAGGGTAAAGAGTAAAGTTAGTAAAGGCGCAAAGTTGTGATTACGCCCTGGGATAACCCAAATGGGCTTGTGACAAATGAGAATTGTGAAGTGACTCAGAACTTGTTGGAACATTCGCCAACCTCAGCCAACTACGCCGCCTTCCTCCTCTCTATTCCTGCACTCATCTACCCCTCGACTCCTCGTGAGCTGCCTTCGCGGTAGCTAACACTATCTGAAGTGACTTCGTGTCACTTCAGATACACTACACACAGTCTGACTTTGCGTCAACTTGTTGGAACATTCGCCAATCTCGGCCAACTACGCCACCTTCCTCCTCTCTATTCCTAGTATCGCTTTACGACTCAAAGCGTTTCACAACGTCTTCCGGACCCAAGGATCGTCTTTGCGGCTTGAACTTGATTATCCACTTAACCTGATCAGTGTACGTCGTCCCCTCTGAGATAGCGAGCACCATGACGATTTCTAACCGCAATGCTGAACACAACTAGTACTTTTCTTTCCATTCCGTCCAATTCACATCAATATCCGCTGATGAGTAGCTGGGATCAGTGTTAGTGCCTCCTTCTATAATCCCTTGCGTTCTTTGACCTCATCAACAGCCAACTACGCTGCCTTCCTCCTCTCTATACCTGCACTCATCTACCCCTCGACTCCTCGTGAGCTGCCTTCGCGGTAGCTAACACTATCTGAAGTGACTTCGTGTCACTTCAGATACACTACACACAGTCTGACTTCGTGTTAGTACTGTTACGACCACTCAATCTTCCACCATCCTTCGATGTCCGGCTTACCATCTCGATTTGCTGTGACACCCTCATCAGTCTCTTAAGCTCCTACCTTTGCGATAGCAGATGTCGTTGGGTGCTAGTGTCGACGCTGTCTGGTAGCTAAGTCATAGTTTACTTTTCATCTTCCTGTACTTAACTCACTATTCCGTAATTGCTTTGGGTACTCTGCGCGCTACTTCAGGATGGCCTCGCCCGTTCCAAATGCGGTCTATGTGTCATATCTAGAGTATTGGAGTCTTCTGTCGAAGTTTGTTCGTCGTCCAGCCGACGATCTTATGCATATAGTTCACCGTAGGCGCCCTGTTCCTACCTTTAAAAACCGGGTATGCTCCAATTTTTCGCCATCAACTCTCTGTCACTCAGTCATTCTCACTACAGTATTTTCCTTCTCGTCTTGAGAATTTGCGTGAAAACCGAGGTAGGTCCGAATTTCTCCATCACGTTGTCTGTTGTTCTAACTTACTCCTACATCAGCTTTTACTTGAATTCGCTGTTTGCGAGACTTCGTGTCTTGGCTGCTGAAAAGGACTTCGTGTTCTTCAAGCTCCTTGCTGTTGATATTTGAGGACTTCGTGTTCTTCAGGCTGCTTTCTGTTGTATTTGTGTTCATAGATCTCTTTAGTCAATTTGTCAAGCTCCCTCTGCCATGCCTCCCAAAAAATCATCTTCCACCAAAAAGTGCGCTAACCCGCGGATGGAAACTCCTGTCATCGACTTCGTGATGCGTACCCGCAGTGGTGCGCCTATCAACCAATGCATGGTACGTTTATTTTTATTTTTATTTTATTTTATCACAAGACATTGATATTCGTCTTTGAAAGCTTCAGACTAAAACACTACCACCCGCCAAAAAAATCAAACCTACCCCCTTGCCGAGGGGGAACTCGTTCATGAGCTTCGACGACTACAGCGCCATCCTTGCCCGGCGCGCGAAATCCTCCGTTGCTACCACAGAGCCGCGCACTGACGCTGAGTCTGATACCCAAGGTATGGGCGGGCATTCTACAAATCGAGTAACCACCCACTGACACGACTATTACAAAGACCACCCGAAGACTGATGACCTTGTCACGGACGATGAGGACAACAGTGAAGGACAAGCGGATGCTCACAAGGGCGATCCCAAAATTCATGGTATGTACCACCTGTCTCCTATCAATCATTTTTCACTAACAGTCCTTGTTTCGTCTCCCAGAATCCTTACCCCCCTCTGATACTCCAGAGGATGAAAATTCTTCCTTGGATGGCGCCCCTTCCTCGGAGAACAACTACCCGTACCGAAAATCGAGAAGCGAGGAGACGGGCTGAACACCGTGCAATGCTTGCTCAGCGTGATCCTTCCTCTTCGGAAGAGGAGTCTGACGAAGATGATGATGAATACAAAGAAGATCAAGAAGCCGACGAAGAAAAAGAAGAAGGCCGACAACAACAACAGACAACGACTTACCTGCGCCTCCATCAAAGACGAAATTGCCCCAGAAGCGCGCACCTCCAAAAGCTCTCCCCCCAAAATCCACAGTAACAGGGACTCCCCCGTCCACCCAGGTACTCCAGGCTGCCATGCATGTGACGACGAAGTCGGTCGAGAAGAGTCCCGTCTCCAGTGCTCTGCCAAAAAGCTCCATGGCAATGGAGACTGATGACGACGACAATGACCTTCCCGTCACTTCTAGACCTGGGCGGCTGTGCCAGGAAGGCATAGACGACGCGCAGGAGCTCGGGCGCAAGACACTTCACGCTGCCAAGTTAATTGGTGACAAATATGGAAAATCTGCACGCACAATACTCATTGAGGCCGGGTTGTCTGTGAAACACTCCAGGGCCGAGACCCCATGGAATATGCACCAAGGATGGTACAAAGGAAAATATCCTCGAGAAACCGATGAAGGTGAATATTTATTTCATGTTGTGGTGCCCATACTGACCAATATCCTCTGGTAGAACTTAGTGATTGGAGAAAGAGACAGCGCGACCACTACTACAGCCTTGAAGACAGCGACCCGCTGTGGGATGACATACAAGCGCACTATGATGGTCACTTGGGCGGTGCTAGTAACAATCGATCGCATGCCAGTATTGTTATGTCTACAAGGGACGCACTCGCTAAGCGTGTAAGTATTTTGACAGTACTTGTTTGTATTATGGCTTACTGTCGCAAAGTTTGCAGCTTATTCTCAGCCTAGAAGGCATTGAGGTCATTGGCTGTGTCTTTGATTCGACTCCTGATGAGGCGGCCCGACAGGCCTCGGGTTTTGTTGCAGGCTCATCCACCTTCATGGATGTCATCAATGAACGCCAAGTGGACGCCCAACTTGCGTTAGATTGGATTATTACTGCAGCAAAGTACGTGGCTTGGAACTACTCTAAGTTTAATCTTACAATGTGTCCAGGGCAAAAAACTACCAGCTCGCAATGCCGCGGTTTGGGGGGAGCATATGATATTTTGTTTTCGAAGCCTGGTGAAGCCCCATGGGACCGTTACCGACGTATCTGGCCGGTCATGGTGCTGGAGAAACTAGGTAAGCTCGACTTATTCCCATCCATGACTTGATTTTAATTCGATTCAACAGAACAATTCGGCTACAAAACGAAGTCTGTCCAGTGGCGGAAGTTACTCGACGTTGCATACCAGAACAAGTTTCAATTCGAACTCTGGCCTGACGAAGTTCCCCCAGTTGGCCCAGACTTCAACTACCACACCCTCAGCGCACAACATCTGAAGTTACTCGTCGTGCCTTACATCAAGCGCAGGGCTTTGCAATATTATGACGCCGAACTGAAGACTGAAGCTGAGAGCTTACTCGAACTTCAGGCGCAAGCAAGGACGGAGCGAAAAAAACTCTTGATGATATCATTGACGAGTTGGACGTCGCTGTGTCTGAGATTGATATTGTTCCTTGGCCCAAAGGTACTTATTGCCCTGTTCATTTTTATGTCTAACGTTGTTGCTTCAGATCACATCGAGCAATGTGAAAAAGACGACCCTAACATGTTTGATATTCCTTTGGTCACCAGCGCTTCCAATATCGTGCTCCGGAAACTCGCGGACTCCGAGAAATTCAAGCACTCCATCCCCCAAGGGTTGCTTCAAAAATACAAGGAAGCAACATCAGTACGTGGTTCGAATGTCGGTGTTCCTTCAGGGAGGAAGGCAGCTTGGAGATACTACTCGGGATCGCCAGTCTCAACAACAGACCTCCGCTGCTCGTGAATATTCGATTGTTCGTGAGAACCACTACACTGATGATGGTCTGCCCCGTCCAGAACGCCGCCCATCGGCGTTTCAGCAACAGAAGTCTCGCAAGCGACCACATGCAGAGGATTATGGCAAGTCCATGAATTACTTGCAGATTCTCTTCTAATCGAGTGTCCAGCAGATGAACAACTTGAATCTGAGGCTGATAGCTTGAATGCATCAGACTCTCGCATCACGAAGAAGTCGAAGGTAAGCTGAAGACTGATATCTTCTACCATTATCTCATTCAAGTTAATTTTCAGGTCGTACGTCATCGTGATGGTGCGCCGCATGTTGAATTGCCACCTCCGCACTTTGTCCCTGCTCATCCTCGACCTCGACTTCAATCTCGACCTCGCCCTCGCCCTCGCCCTCGCCTTCGTGCACCTACACCTGACTACGAACCGCGTCAACACTGGGATGATGAGGTACAGCAGGTGTCTCCGCATCATCTTCATTCCTATGGGCATAATGTTGCCCATCATCATCGCCATGATTTTCCGGCTGCAGGCCCTTCGAGAGTGGTTGCAAGGGCACGTGAGAGATCCGATTATGACAGGAACACTCCGGCTCCTGGGTATGATTCATATGATCGTGATTTCGTTTACCGTGACTAATGTTTCATATCATTCGAACTATTGCATATGTACTTGTGTATGATAGCTTGAATGACTATGTGTTTTGTGGTCCCAAACTGTGGTGCACAATGGGCACTCGAAAGATAATGTCAGCATCGAGGAGTTTTCATATGTGTAAATCTAGGCCATCATGGCCATCCCACTCAATAAATTAAGAATAATGAACTATCCCACTTATATATATATTGGGTTGCTGGGTCATCCCAAGGATCAATTGATGGTGAGTGGGCTATCCCTGGTGGTATGTTGAAGCTATATATATATGCAGTGGGCCAGCCCAGTGTCTATGTAATATGCGGTGGGCCATCCCAGGGCTCATATTGGGCTGGCCCATACGTATGTAAGGAGTGATGGGCTATCCCTAGTGGAATGTTGAAGATATATATATATGCAGTGGGCCAGCCCAGTGTCTATGTAATATGCGGTGGGCCAGCCCAGGGCTCGTATTGGGCTGACCCGTACTACATATGAATACCGATGGGCTACCCCGCTGTGTATAAGGGCTTGTATTGGGCTGACCCGTGCATATGAAATTAGTGATGGGCTATCCCACTGTGTATAATAGACTGTCCCTTGAATATTGAACAAGTAAGAAGCTAACCCATATCACACCTATCAGGCAGTTGGGTAAGAAGGGATAGTGGAGTACTAACATAAAAGTCCTGCACTTGGATATTGTATGAGGTTAGGCAACAAGAACAGGAGGGCTTGGTGATCTGGTCCGTGGAACAGGAGTGGTGATGGGTTGAAGCCCAAGGGCATTTAACGTATCGGTAGTTGTGCGTTCAAGATAAAGAATGTAGTTTCCATAGAAAATGGCCATGATGATGAGGAGGATGAGGACAACTAATAACCAGTGATTGATGAAATCATAGGTCAGGAAATCGAAAGATCATTGGTGAACCATGGAATGTGCTGCTAAACTAGTGTCAGATTTGCAAGAGCAAGTCACCACTGGGAATATTACAATAAAAAATGAGTTAGGTAAAGTAGAGAGGCTTAGGAGTAAGTACTGACCCAGATGAGCAACCTAGTGAAATAGTAAAGAAAGGAGAGAGAACAATTGAAGGCCTAATACTGGATGAGGATGTTGCAAAATAGAATGTAGAAGAAAGAGAGAAGAAAAACTGTACAGAACTTTTATGGAATGTGGAAAAATAGTGACAAACAAGTAATAACATTTGGACTGGGCCAGCCTGCATCATGCATATGAGAGAGCCGGGTCAGCCCAGTCACCATATAAACCAGTGGTGGGCTAGCCCGCATCATGCGTAGGAGAGAGCCGGGTCGGCCCAGTCACCATATAAACCAGCGGTGGGCTAGCCCACATCATGTGTAGGAGAGAGCCGGGTCGGCCCAGTCACCATATAAACCAGTGGTGGGCTAGCCCGCATCATGCATAGGAGAGAGCCGGGCCAGCCCAGTCACCATATAAAACAGTGGTGGGCTAGCCCGCATCATGCATAGGAGAGAGCTGGGTCAGCCCAGTCACCATATAAACCAGTGGTGGGCTAGCCCACATCATGCATAGGAGAGTGCCGGGTCGGCCCAGTCACCATATAAAACAGCGGTGGGCTAGCCCGCATCATGCATAGGAGAGTGCCGGGTCGGCTCAGTCACCATATAAAACAGTGGTGGGCTAGCCCGCATCATGCATAGGAGAGAGCCGGGTCAGCCCAGTCACCATATAAAACAGCAGTGGGCTAGCCTGCATCATGCATAGGAGAGTGCCGGGTCGGCCCAGTCACCATATAAACCAGCGGTGGGCTAGCCCGCATCATGCATAGGAGAGAGCTGGGTCAGCCCAGTCACCATATAAAACAGCGGTGGGCTATCCCGCATTGACCAGTCACTGTCTTTTTCTTTCCGCTTTTATGCTTACATCCAAAGTAATATGTGATGACACTTACTCCAATAAAACCTGGAGTATTGTGGTGCAGAGTATGTTCCAATTGTGCAAATTAACCTGATGGAGTGTAAAATATGTCAGTATCTGGAGTGAGGGCACAGTCAAGAAGGATTTCTAGGTCAAGGACCTCACCCAACTTACATTCTTCCCTCATCTTCAAAGACAACCCCCCCATCTACCACAAATTTATTCCCGCCTCCTCCAGCTGCTTTGAATTTTGTAGGTCAAGGACCTCACCTGACTTACATTCTTCCCTCATCTTCCAAGACAACCCCCCGTCTACCACAAATTTATTCCCGCCTCCTCCAACTGCTTTGAATTTTGTAGGTCAAGAACCTTACCCAACTTACATTCTTCCCTCATCTTCCAAGACAACCCCCCCGTCTACCACAAATTTCTTCCCGCCTCCTCCAGCTGCTTTGAATTTTGTAGGTCAAGGACCTCACCCGACTTACATTCTTCCCTCATCTTCCAAGACAACCCCCCCGTCTACCACAAATTTATTCCCACCTCCTCCAACTGCTTTGAATTTGTAGGTCAAGAACCTTACCCAACTTACATTCTTCCACATCTTCAAAGACAAGCCGCCCCCCCCCCCTCGCCACATATTTCTTTTCACTTCCTCCATTCATAGGTCAAGGACCTTATGAAGACAAACATTATACTCTAAGTGTCTAAATGTGTGGGTAATTTTTCATGAGAAATGACCCCTGACACCCCCTGTGTATTCATATAATAAAGTATCTAGGATGACCCAGATGGGTCATGGGACAGATCAAATACATTGGCCCAGCAGGCCCAGGCTTCGTGGGGAAAGTGTTGAATTGGCCCGGGATATAACCTGCATTGGCTGGGAATACCACCTAAGATCATGCCTCTTAGGTGAGATTGTAAGCCAGAATATATGTACCTAAGAGGTACTTTAACAGGGGTGACTGAAGTGAATTGAGAGCCGGGCCAAAGCCCTTGAGAACGGCTTGGCCCTGGCCCAGCCTGGCCTGAGCCACGGCCTGAGTATGAAAATGAGTAGGCAAATGACATCAATGATTAATAGGTAGATAAAACAAAAGTCAAACGATATCTATGTCATCCTCATCATCCGCCAGCAGCAAGACATCCCAACCATCTTCGTCATCACCCTCACTCATCATGCTGTTATTAGCATCCGGTTCAACATCGAATTTGTCGACTTCAAGTTCAGTGGATGATGATGGACCAGGTGGACGGAAAAGGAGGTCATGACGAATGGCACACTTAACACATTGCAGCACCTCGACAATATCGCATTTGAGGTGATTACGATGCTTACTGATAGTGATACCCCCCTGTGAGAAGGCGCGTTCGCTCGAAACGGATGTTGCCATGATGGATAGATAGTCCTGAGCGATGGAGGACCACACTGGTCCATATCTGTGTGCGTTCAACTACTGCAAAGTACATCAGTAACGACGGATGAACTAGAATGTAATAGTATATACGTACCCCCCACCATTTGACCATACTTGTTCCAGATGGCAGTTTTGCCTCGACAGTGTCAATATAAAGTCTGAAATCAGTGTAACAAGGCCTGGCAGGATCAACATTGGCTGCCGATGTGCCCAAACCAAGGTCTTCATCTTCATCTGAACTCTCAGTCTCACGAATGAGTTTCTTGAGGCCATGAACTTTGCCTTTCTTGATGGGTAGTTGTACGGCCATCACTGATTTGCCCATTGTGACATAGCGAGTCTTAAACTAAGTCCCAGATCAACAATGTAAGTTGAACAGCAACATTATTGAACGCACCTCTAGTTCTGCACAAGCAAGGACCTCCTCTTGCAGGTTTTCCAGCCAGTGTTTCTTAAAGTACACCATCTTACCCATTGGATCAAGTACTGTACAGATATGTTAGCAATGTGCGGCACCGCATGAACAGAACAAGACATACACATAGCCATGATGTATGCTGGTGAGTCAGTCGTCTTTTCATAGTACTGGTCAATCTTTTGTGCGGCAGCATGGAGTGCGGGAGAAAAACTGGCATACTTAGGTCGGTCTGCACGATTCGACCATGCTCAATGAAGGGTCTCAAGGGCAGGAATAGCCAAATGAAGTGTGGTCCCTTTGTCCAATGAGAAAGCCTGTTGAGCTACATCTGCATACTGAAGAAACAAATTAGAGGGAACTTTGTGAATATGAAACAGAACATACTGAGAGTAGATCAGCAAATTTACCGGCAGACGCCCATTCAGTCGAGGTCAAACAGAGGTAGTTGATTTTGGCCCATTTTGCCAGATTGCGTTCTTGCACGCCCATCTCATAAACATAAATGTCGACATGCTAGGGCCCAAGATCAAATAGGGCAATACTTTGTGAATATTAGACTCACCTCCTTACTACCTTCTGCACGATTGATCATTACATATGTTGAAGACCAACAGACTTTCATATCAAGAAGGAGCTGCGTGGGGTTTGAGACACCAGCCTTGGCTTGAACACTCTTGTAAAGTTCCTTTCATTTGGCTGACGAGCGTTCCTTCACACATATTGAGCGAATAAGTCCGATCTCATCACGGTCACCTTGAATTGACATGTCAGGCTCCAAAGCGTGAGGATTATGCAGGTCATAGTGAGGAGCCTTGCTGTACATGCTGATGAGGAGTTGCATGCTGAGATTGATGACATGCGCTAAGCAGCTACAGTCATAATGTAAGGGTTTGCTAGCAACCAAATAAAATCGGACTTACTTGATTCTGCGAGCTCGCCATGGGAATTCCTTGTTACATCGGACTTCATATAATAGCGCAAATTCTTCAAGCATGGTACCGTTGTTAGCTGCATTGTCACAGGTAACATGGCCAAGCTAAAAAGATTCAATTAAACCACGAATTGTTCAGTTGTGATAACATACCTTATGTACAATACCCAGACGGTCCAGAACCTTGAAGAGAGTACCACCGAGCCGCTTGCCATTGTGCGAGTTGTTGACTTGCGTAAAACCAAGTAGCGCACTTTCACACTCCCAATGAGTATCAGTCTTTGCTTCGATCCAATGGCCTGTAACGGCAAAGTAAGCATCGACATTCTCAGCCTGCCAGGCATCGCAGGTTGTATTTATCGCGCCGCTAACGGCGTCACTATTCAGCTTCTCCTTAAGTTTAGTAAGATGATTCTTGAACATCCTCATGATCTTGGCTCGAGTCGCATTCCTGCCCGGGATCTTGATGCCACTGGTTGCTCGGGCTGCAACATCAATCATTTCCTTGAATTTTGGATGCTCGAATGCTTGAATAGGCTATATAACGCGTGTCAAATAATAATGTAACTACTAGATGATGGGAGACGTACTTGGTCAGTGGCAACAAGCCATTCAATGGCAGCCTGCTTGAACAAGCTATCCGAGTACAGGACGACTTGTTCAGCAATCTTTCGTTCAGTCAGATGGGAGGTGATTATTTGCTGGTCATGTTCGGCCTTTTCCTTGTAAGCCTTGACATCACCAGGTAGCATCGACTCGAACGAGTTTTTTTTCGCCCATGTATGATACTTGCCCTATGTAATGTATCAATACAAAGTTCAGGTAAAGCACATAGTTACTCACCGCAAAGTTAGCCTCTGCATGTCAACAGAGTGTAGTCGTTTCATTGACGAGTACACATTTTTTCCTATCAGCTGATCAGTGGGTGAGTGTAGAAAATGTGAGCAGACTTACTGGCAAATCTTGCACTTGCGGTGCTTCTTGACTTTGCCATTAGACCCAGTGTGATCAAATGTGGCACCAAAAAATTCTTCAATGTCAGTGGTTCGGAGCTCACACGTTGACCCTGTGTCCGCAATCGACTGAACATCGATGTCGATGAGGATACCATCCTCACCCACTGGGTCTGAGTCTGTTCTTGCAGCCGCCTTGTGAGCTTTCTTTGCTGATGGTCAAGTATTAAGTTAGATCATGGGTTTGTGCGCGCATTTTCACGCTCGTCGATGTCATCATCCAAGATTTCTTCGACGTAGGGGCGTTTGTTGCTAGATGTAGATGTGGCGGGCTGGACTGGACTGGGGCACAGAAGGCTCTAGTGATGGACCTGGGGTAGCAGTCTGTGGAATTTCATTAGTAGACCTTGCAGCTTCTGCAGCGCAGAATTCGTTGATGGCCTTCATTTGTGATGGTAGGGCGGCCCTCTCCGAGTGCTCAAGAAGGGCAGCTGTTGGTTTTGTCCAACATATGGGGCGTGCTGCACAAGGCTCATCACCATTGGTGGAGGCTGCAGTGTCTGTGCTGATCATATGAAGGTAGTAGGTAGGGGGCAAGGAGGCACCGTACAATGACATATTAGCAAGAAATATAAGTTAGAGTCTTGACGGACCATCAAACCTCCGAATGAATAGCGTAGTAGTAAATCAAAGGACCTATTCTGACATTAGAGCGAGTAATGTCAAAAGAAACATGGCAACTCACTTGTATATCAACAGGAACATGGTGATCCACTCATCTGAAGGATGTAAAGTCCTTTAATCGGTCAATTCTGACATGTAGCGATGGTGGGGCGAAGCAGAACATCAGGAAAAATGGGAACTGCAATATAGTGCCACAGAGGCTACATCGCACGTATAGCCTGGTTGCATCTCCCCCCCCCCCCGATATAGTACCATGTAGCGTAGACCATATGTCTATTTGCACAACATAGCATCCGGTATCTCGCACCTTTGCAATATAGTGCAGCTATGTAGTGATCTAATGTTTACCATTGCAGTAAGTACACATCAGGTACATCATACCACTCGCGCACTCGCAAATAACAGGGAGATCAATGGCGTGCATTCACGGTTTAACAGTTTAATACTAGTCAGCAGTTATTCTCGCTGTCCTCAACATCATCACCTTCAAATCGACCACCCTCAAGCTCCAAGTCAGACTCCACCTCATCACTGTATTCCCAGATGGCCTTGTTGATCTCGTCGTCTGAGAGGCAGTCACCGTCTCCGATTTTAATCGGATCCACCTTAGCATGCAACCTGTATTATGATTGTCAACTTTCCAAGTTCAAATCCTTGAAACGCACTTACCTGCCATTGTTGTTGATTTCCGTCAGGATGCCATCAAGGATTCCGTGATCCTTCGTTCGAATGTGAAACTTCTTCAGGTTCGCAAGATGCTTGTCGTAAATCTCCTTATAATCACCGCTCGAGAAGCTGATATCTACCCGTTCACCGTCATACCATTCATCAATGCAACATTCAGCCTGCAGCCGATAATATCACCATCTGAAGCCAATAGACAATAGCATGACTCACTGCGGTGTGCACTAAGGCCAAGGCTGGAATTGGAAACGGCGAAAAAGATTTCTCAAAAACAATCCCTTCATCCTTCTTGTTGTGGTACCAGAGTAAATTTGCCGCTTGCTGATTTAACCTCGACCGAAAGAGGCCACTGCGAGGGACATTATTCTTTTGGTCCCCGAGGTCCTTACAACCAAACATAAGTACAAAACATGACTCAAGATATTATTAACGCACCCGGTAACACATGCCAAATTTATCCTTGAGCTGACGGGCGAGTTTGCGATTCCTACACTTGATGGACTCCCGATTGGTGGACTCGAAACCATAAATATTCTCGACAAGCGGGCAAACTTTCCCTTTCACCTCACTTGTGAGATGCAATGTGCGCCGGGTAATCTTGAACAAGAAATTAGGCAGATGAAATAATAGAACTCGATCACGTACCATCTGGATGATCTCACCATTGAATCCCATCACCATCTCATAACAGCTACATGCCTCCTTCCAGGCCTCCTTTGCCCAAAGGACTTGAGTCATGTGATCCGGATAGGCATACTCGGATGCGAGCCGGACACAGAAATGGCTGATCGCGAACTTGATGAGTTGCTGCACTGCTACTTCATAATCACGGGCCGCTACATGGCCCTTACTCTGACGAATCTTGCGTGGAAGTCGCTGTTCACCTTGTTGTGGGGAAGGCGAATCTTCGGACTGGCGCGTCCGCTTATGACTCTGTGTGCTGTCACCCTCATCATCTGAGGGTGGTAGCCGCACACGCTTCAAGTGGCACAAATCTGCAAGATCATTCAGCTGCCATTCAAGTGTATGATACAGCACCACTCACCATCATAGTTGTTATCCTCACCATAGTATATATCTCCACCGGCGAACACGTCACTATTGTCCCCATCATGAATGACAGGGTCTTCGTCATCGCCGTTGGACTGCTCGCCATCGTCATATTGCTCGCTGTCGTCATGCTGCTCACCGTCGGTCAAGTTCAAGTCATTATCTAAGTCTCCTTTGGACTGCGCCCATCGGAGTTGGATGAGCTCGTTGGCACGTGCCGCTGTCAACTTCCGTGGCGCAGGCGGTGGCTTAACATAATGATGAGTGCCCCAACACTAAGGCGAAGGCAATGACACTTACACTGAGATCGTTGGACCTATGTTCACGATTGACAAAACCAGACCCCTTACAAACAAGCCATCAACATCAAAGTTGAAGTTATCATGCGGCCGACTCACTTTAGTAAGAGTATCTTCCTGCCAGCCCCCAGACATGGATGTTCTACTCGGAGCTGGTGTATGTACCTTTGTGTTTGATCAGATATCGCATACTAAGAGTCAATGATATTCTCAGCTCACCTGTGTGATATGTTTTGGCCGTGGGGTGTGTTTATCTCGTGGGGGGACCTTGCTGAACCGGGGCCGCAGGTCTAGTGGACTGTTGGATGGTCCGCTACCTCTGGACAGGACGATAGGCTGCGTTGAAAACTGTGTGCCGTCATGTGTACCTGAAAATAGTTAGGTGGCAGGCAACCGATGCGACAGTCAATAACACACCTCTGTCCACCCGATTTTTCCGGGTGGCCTTGATTTTGTCTTGACCACTTGGGCGGCGGCGTGCCTCACGGCATTCTTGGTCCTCCTCGACTAGGTACGATATAATGATATAGTTAGTGATAGAATTGGTAGTACATAAGAAATGGCATACCTTGGTATAGAGCCTTCTCTGAAGGGCGGCAGTCGCGGCGTTGACGCTGAGAGGGAGCTGAATCAGTATTGTTGAGAATATTACTCAGTGCTTGGCGAGCAGGACCAGTGGAAGACATTCTGGATGTTGATTGAACGTGAGGATGAGACAATCTAAATTTTATGAGTATGAGGGGGCACAGCGCACCTTTTTTCTATCATCACATCCTTTATAATGACACGTCGCGTCTGCAGACCATGATCAACAATCAATGCGCAACAACACGCTCACGTCAAGTTATGTGCAAACTGCGATCTTGAGGGATCACACTGATCTTGAGGAAAAAAGTTTTGATGTCCGATGGATGACAAGTCAGCCAGGTGAGACTTGATTGAACTGTCACTTACGGGTCAGCTTTTTTGGCTTGTGAACCTTGAACCTCCTGCTCGACCATACCATCATGCACCGCTGCAATTTTTGCCTCAAAGGCAACTTCCAGAGTGCAAGGGCCGTTAGCCTTCATATAAGCCGGACTCTAGCCTGTAAGCAACACATGGACCAGCTGCGCAACCATGAGCAAGCCACACAAGAGGCCACACCCAACAACAACCAACCTGAAGATGTCTACTTTGACGGAGACATACCTTGGGAGTTTGATGGCCAGGGGGATGTCATACCGGAAGGGCCACAAATACCGGAGCATCGTGGTGTCCAAGTCGAAGAAGTAGAAGATGAGGAAAGGATGTGGATGCGATTTGTCCAGTCATACCCAGGGCAAGTAGCGCAAACGCTTGGCTGCGCAGAGAGCATGTTCCATGACATCAGAGCCCAACAAGAGGCTCAAGGTCTAGACCCATGGGCGCCATTTGCGGACACAGAGGAATGGGGACTTGTGAAATGGTTGGTATCCCGTGTGGGCCAAAATGCGATAGACGAGTTCATGAAACTACCAATTGTAAGTCAGTGATTCAGCCCCAATTCACAACATACTCACCAATGCACAGACCAGCCGCCTTAATACATCATTCACTGAGCAAATACACCCTGATGAAAGCAATCGATCAGCTTCCCCGCTGGAACAGAATGGCAGTTAAAGAGAATAAACGTAGAGGGCAACAAACTCACCAATGACGGGCACTGCGAAACTGAGGATCTTGAACTGTGGCTGCGGGACCCAGTAGACTGCATCTGCGAACTCATGGCGAATCCAGAGTTCGATCGCATGGTATCATATGCAGCCAGAGAGAGTGTTTGCTGATGCGGAGGGCAAGACAAGACGGTTTGACGAAAATGTGGACAGGTAACTGGTGGTGGGAGATGCAGGTAAGCGCAGGTGTCTACATGTGGCAAAAAAACACACTAAAGCCATTCCCACAGGGAAGACTGCCTCAAGGGGCGGTTGTTGCGCCAGTCATCCTAGCATCTGATAAAACCTCGCTGTTGCAGTTCCGGGGAGACCAGGAGGTGTGGCCCGTCTACTTGACCCTCGGAAACATCTCCAAAGAGATCCGCAGTCAGCCATCCAAACACGCTGCAATTCTGATCGCGTACTTACCGATCTCGAAGTTAGAATGCTTCACGCGCGATACACGTTCCGTGGAACGTTATCGTCTCTTCCACTACTGCATGACGCAGGTCCTGGAGCCATTGGTCAAGGCAGGCAAGGATGGTGTCGAATGTCACATGCCCTGATCGTCAAGTAAGGCGCATGCATCCAGTCGTGGCAGCGTATGTGGCGGACTTTCCAGAGCAGTGCCTGGTGGCCTGCTCCATGGAGAATAGGTGCCCAAAGTGTGTTGTGGGACGCAACGAGTGTGGTGACATGACGAGGTCAGGAAATGCACAATCAAGAATCAACGCTGGAATACCTATGCTTGCACCATGACGGCGAAATGAGTAATGAACAGTTTGAGGGAGGACTAGGACTACGAGCGATCTACTCACCATTCTGGGCTACACTGCCGCACAACGACATATTCTCATGTATCACCCCCGACATTCTACACCAGCTGCACAAAGGTGTTTTCAAAGATCACCTGGTCAGCTGGTGCTCCGATATCATAGGCGAGGAGGAACTTGACACGCGTTTCAAAGCGATGACGTCCTCAAGAAAGGGATTTCCAAATGGAAACAATTGACGGGGGCAGATTATAGAGAGTTACAGCGGGTTTTCCTTGGGGTAATTGCTGGTGCGGTCAACAGCCAAGTTCTTGCTGCCGTTTGTGGTGTGTTATATTTTGTCTATTATGCGCAGTACCAGACACACATGGACGTCACACTTTCCCACATGCATAGTGCACTTGCATCATTCCACGCCAACAAGCACGTTTTCCTCGATCTCGGAGTGCGGGAGCACTTCAACATACCTAAAATCTATTCCATGCTTCACTACTTCGACGCTATTCGTCTGTTTGGAAGTGCAGATGGCTTTAATACTGAGCTCCCTGAGTGTCTGCACATCGATTTTTCTAAGCGTGCTTACCATGCCTCTAATCGATGTGACTATGTTATCCAGATGACTACCTGGTTACAACGGCAAGAGTCCATCGCCATTCAAGATGCTTACCTTCGATGGTGGGCTTCACAACACCCTGCCAATGATAATTCGGTGCAAGACGAGGCAGATTCCAGTACCTCGGACTCGGATTCTGATGGTCCAGCGCCTATGGGAGCCAACCACATCATCCTGCCTTGTCAAGCACAACACTTCACGATGCTGACGGCATCACGGGGGTACTTCATCCCCAGAAGGTGTCCATTCCCAAACTCTACAATCCAACGGTTACTCCACAACTATGGCGCTGCACTTTTCATCCCTGCTCTTGAAGATTTCCTTCATAACCACATACCAAAAGGGTTGCACAGAAAGCTCACTCCACAAGACCGCGTCAATGTCTACAAATACTTGAAGGTCCTCTCGCCAGTACGACCACATATAAACAAAACCAAATGTTTATTTAAGGTACGCGCAGCGCCAGTCATACCATCGAAGGATGCGAGGAAAGGGCCAGCGCCTGCACACTTTGACATGGTGCTTGTGATTGAGGATGAGGACCGGTACACTGGGGAGGGAATGTCAGGTGAGTGTTATTGTTTTATGATTGTCTATGCTTGCTCACTATACCTAGGTCTGCGCGTTGGTGAAGTGATGGTGATTTTCGACCTCCCGTCACATTTCGGTCATTTTCCCCACCCCCTTGCGTACATCCATTGGTTCCGGCCACTTCAGGTATTCGACGATAATTTGCAGTTTTTCAGGCTCACAAGGTCTTCACTAGTGTACTGTGGAAATCCACCGAGTTATCCACCTGCATGGATATCCACCTAGTTATTCACGTGAATAACTAGGTGGATAACTCAAGGTCAAAATTGATAGGGTGGATTATGTGAATAACTCAAATAACAGTATACATGCGCAGGGTTATGCTAAATAGTACTAAATACTCTTAAAAAGCTTAATTATCGAACACTGCGAATCTACAAGCCTACATCTATGTTTGGACTTGTCTTGAGAGACACTTCAGAGCGATGCTTTTGGGATAGTCTAGGGACACTCTTGTACACCGTGTACACCATACTCTTTTAGTATTTATGACTCTCGGAGATTCGGTGCGTGAAGATCTTGCAGTTATCAAGTAAAGATCAAGAGATGGGCCGGTCATAATAAGATCAGATTGAGATAACTGAGCTACATAGAATTCAAGCTGTCTACTAGTTTTCTGAGATCACTGAGAGCAAATGGTACAGTTCTTTATCTGCGAAATTGTTCAAGAAATGATCGTCGAATACCTCCAGTGAGTTCCTGGAATTCACATCTTTATCCAATGGTCCTCGATAGACAGGTATGATCTCCACGGCATGCGTAATGTCTGTTAGGGGAATTATGGATCCACGCCTGATTACCGTCTCCGACTGTGAAGGGTGTCCAGTATATGATCGTCTGACCATCCACATACCCGTGGATGACTCGGGGCCAGGTATGATGAAGTCGAAATGTTGTATATATACCAGTACCTGAGACAAGTGTTCAGGGAGTTGCGCATGGGAGCCTCTAGGAAGAATTGGCTGGAATATGGCTCATATTTGAGCCACATAAGACCCTGTAGAACAATATAAGGCCCATCAGGAAGTGTCACCGCCGGTAAGATTAAATACGCACCATCCTTATCACCATTGACCCTCTGGCTAAATAACACGGCGTCGCAGTTCCCTCTAGGGAAATTACTGGAAGGTGGTTCGGCATGAATCTGTTGGCTCGGCATGATTCTACAAGTGTGGAAGGTGGAATGTAGCTGGATCCGAAATTTCAACCATGTGTTGAATGATACGTGATCAGGGAGCGTACAGCCATTGCAGGTTGCGTAGAGGTGTAAAGCATGCGCGAAATCAGGGAGGTTATATAATGACTGCAGCTGAGACGCATCGAGGTGGCTGCGATCTGCTTTCATGGTCACGTTGAAGGCAATCCGTGCATTGTCCGATATGATACCCTTCAGGAAATGATTACGAACAGGGCACGGGCCTTGTAGACTTAGCTGGGTGGCTGGGTTCACATTGGAGACCCAAGCAAGAGTAGGATCTGTCTCCGTACTGGCGATCTCTTCATCTTCCTCGATGACGGCATTGATGAGAGGGTCCTGACCAGGCGTAGATGAGGAGGAGGATAACAATGTATAAAGATCGAAGAGCTGGATGGACTCCTCCCAATCGAGGATGTGGGCGATCTGCAGGACGAAATCTCGCTGACGGCTTGTGTGCTCAAACGGATGTTTGCAGTGTGTTATTAGAAGACGTTCCAACACGTCTGCCGTCCACTGCATAAGTGAACCAACATGGGAGATTGCACGAGTGAAGCTTTGCATGAGTTCCAGTTTCGGAATGAAGAAGTCGTCCTTAGCACCGCTCTTTCCCTGTCATGCCTCTGCGTCGAGGATAGCCTGCTTATTACAATGGAAGTCCCGAAGTGCTTGAGTCATAGAGACGATGCTAGATTGAGTGTGAAGGGGATTCTGAGCGAGGTAGATAAAGTCGATCATTGCCCGAATGGCGCAGATGAAACCAGGGCTTGCCATACCCCACAGCGTCGGCACAATCGTGCGCTGAATATCTCAGTGCTCTCGTCCTGTCATTTGGTTGACGTGAGAGACACCCCCAGAGAAGTGGCGCACACCAGTGCGCTTGTGGTGACTCTTGAACCATACATTGAGTTCATAACCCATGATCTGTTTGATCCACTTGAGGACATGATCAAAAAAAACTTATGCAGCGCGTGTAGAATCTCTGGTGTCAGGAAGCTAGCAGGATTAGAGTGCCTCCAGTTTCTCCAGAACGGCAAGTGTACCCCGCTGAGATGAAGCTTTTTGGCCTCTCTAAGGAATACAATGAGATCCCATGGGTCAACGTGGTGGCAAAGCTGCTGGATAAGCAAGTATGTATCTGATCCGTTCTGTGGGGGATGCGGCGTTTCATCGCCAAACTCTTTGTGGGTTGCAGTGGTGATGGGAGATGAGTTTTTTGAGACACATGCGATCATCAGTTGTTCAGGGAGATTGGCGATGTGGCTGATGAGAGGGGTGAAGCAGTAACGCACTCTGGCTGAGGGATCAACCATATATTTGCCAACACGAGCTGCGACCTTCAAATTAGAACATACGAGATCCATGCACTTGTGCCACAGACGCGCCTGGAGTAAGGATTGGAAATCAGAGTTGACAATGAAAGTCGGTATTGGCATGAATGCAGTACATTGCCACGCATGTGACATAGCCTTCATGCGGACATCAGCCTGGATATTTCCGATAGTTAGAAATAACAGGGTGCATCTCGAAGCCACCCGTGTGTCTTGTAACTGGGGTTTTGTCAGAGGCAGCAATGATTGGAACGATAGTCGCCCCTTCGGACAGTTGATCCTACATTGTCAAGCGTCAATCACTCAAGTAAATCTAAACCAAAGCGCAACTACTTACCTGAATCTTCCATGCATCATCTGATGTCCAGAATTCTCCTATCTGGCGCTCTTGTCCTTGATAGATATGGTGAGGGTCGTAGCACATATGTCTCACATAAATGGGGTTTGCGAAAAGTTGCTTTGTAACCTCCAGCCCGTCCCTCCAAATAAGATGGATTGGTTGTTCGCTTTCGTAGCCCTTGAGCTTAAGTTTCATACACTGCCATTTTGGCCTGCGACCAGGAAGCTGCTGCATATAAAAGAACAACTCGTCCTTCAACTTGAATTGCGGCCGCTCTCTGGTCTGGAACTGAAGTAATATGTCAAATGAGTATTTACTTGATGATAATTAGACGTACCCAATCTAACTTGAGAAATTTGTCAATCTGCGTCTGGGAAAGGTTCTCGACAAGAAATTTCACGAGTGACCATTCACCCGGCCCATCAAATGGATACCACACGTTAGTCTTTCTAGCTTGTTGAAGAGGATGGTCTTGCATCTCTTGAAATATGTTTTGTGAAGGCAGTTGATCTGGAAGCAGGTAATGGTAGCCAGAGGTGGGGTGATACTTTGCTGATAAGTTGGTCTGCTCTGGTGGTCGCTGTAGAGCCTGCGGTACTGGCAGCATCGATCCATTGGTGAGGTTCTCTGGCCAACATGAGTCTGCACCATTGAGATGCTCTATGACTGCCTCAGCCAATCGGTATTGTTTCTTGCAGTTAGGACACAGGGTGACAGCAATGTCAAAGGACGAACTGGAGAAGGAGATCAGTGAGTCGTTTAATACCATATAGTACAACTTACTTCTGTGTAAAATCTGCAAACTCAGAGTTGGGTTCCTCATGCTGAAAACCAGGGCTATATGGGTCATAGGGCTGAGGATACGCCATAGGAGTGACACAGTGACTGCCAGTGCGACACTTTGTACACTTGAAAAGCACCAAGTCTTTGAAACTCCGATCATTGACTGGGCTTACTATTCAACCCACTGCCAGTGAGAGCAAGACTCAACAGTTATGTATCTTCCGCAGTCTATGTTACAGGGTCCATTGAGTGGTACCGGTGACACCCCACCAACCAGCCCATTGCATAGCCCAAAGTCCAGTCCACTTGCTCAAAAAGTTGATTATGCTGAAGCTTTCACTCGCATCTACCGTGATAGCCCCCAAAGCTCTTCTCCACCCAGCAGCCTTTGTCCCTCATCACCCCCAGGTACTCAGATCACACCTTGTCATATATCAGAAAATACTCAACTCAAATTTTAGCAGCATCTGTCACTTTTGATGTTGGTCCACCTATGAAAAGGGGGGGTGGAATACGTCATTCAAGACAGATTTCGCAGCCCAACTACCACCCTTATGTCCGGAAAACTCCCCCCCACTCCGCAGGCTGAGCGTAAGATGGCAAGTGTGATGGGAACATCAAGCGAAAATATGCATTCAAACCTTGACAATGATACAGTACATTACTATATCATATGCTGCAACTCTGAGTGACATATGATCATGTCGCTAGACTTCCAGAATATTTTCTCAGGGCTTGCAGCAGATGTCCTCTGAAGGTATTCGCCGTGCTGCATATTACAAGGAAGCAGAACTTGAATACCACCGGCATCTCTCAATGGTTTTGGTTTGGGAGGTAGAGAAGCTATCAAGGCTCAAACACTTCCTCGATTGTGAACATCAGGAGCAGGAGGAACAAACAAGTCGGGCATTTGAGGAGGCAGAGCTCTTTGCACGTATGGTGGCTGATCGCGATTCAGAGCGTGCATCCCAGGATATCGAGTTTGTCACTTTGCTCCGACAGCAGGAGACAACAAGGATCACACAGTTGAATACTGAGCTCGATGAGCTCGATCTCTTTCTTCCCAACCCCAACACCACTGACACATACGGAGATCTCCATGACCTCAACACTGCTGACACACACAGAGATCAATCACATGTCGGAGACCGCGCCAAGGATGAGGTGGCAACAGGGCTGAGGTGAACCAGAGTAGGAATCTATTTTTATTAACCAATACAAAGGTACGCTTCATTCAAATTGTTTTCTGTCGCAGCACGCGCTCATTTATTAACAAGATGTACCAGCTTGAAAGATGAAATTAGATAATTGTAAGGTGGTACTACGCAAATTTGTTTCCTATTTTCGACCATTTAGTGTGTTGACGTCTTTATTTGTAGTTTGTACAACTACAAATATCATGGAATGTAGCAGTTTTGATTTTTGATTTACGAAGATGTCACGTGTGCTGATTATTGATTGATCATCTCTGGACTTGACCACCATGTCTGCAAACCAAAATGCGCCCTCAAGAGCTCGTCGAAGGGTTGTGTGGGTGAGTACCTTGATATCTTTACTAGTAGTACACCGACTTATGACACAATGACAGGATGTGCCCATTATTTGACAATCAGGACTGAACATCGCAGGTAGCATCAGAAAATTCACACATTCCTTATTTGCCCTTAAACAGACTTATTCACACTTAACCACCTTGTTGAAAGTGGATCTACTTGTCTGAAATTTCAACTTGAATGTATTAAGAAAAAAAATGTTGAGATGTATTAATGGACATATTTTATTATGTTCCACATTAAAAAAATATCAGATATGCCAGGTGAATGATGTGAGAGAGAGAAAACAAGTTTTGAGATAAGTGAGATAAGCTGATTAAGGATGTTAAGGAATGTGTGAATTTACTGATGCTAACTCATCGGGAGATCAAGTTGGCTGCGCAGCAGAGATACCGGAGTCCATGGATACGCCTGAACTACCCCCCTCAGATCTATCCTCCCCCTGTTTTCTCGAACAACGGCTACAGCTCTGTACCACCCATCTATCCTCCCCCTGTTCCCTCGAACAACGGCTACAGCCCACCCATCCATCCTCTCCCTGTTCCATCAAATGACAGCTACAGCCCATCCATCTATCCTCCCCCTGTTCCATCAAACGACGGCTACAGCCCACCCCTCTATCCTCCCCCTGTTCCCTCGAACGACGGCTACAGCCCACCCATCTATCCTCCCCCTGTTTTCTCAAATGACGGCTACAGCTCTGTACTGCCTAATTTCCAGGATATGGTCCCTTTACCGAGGACATCTTGTTTCACCGGGGAAGCTCCCCGTGCTGTAGGACCTGATTGAGTCCAACGGTTGTTCGCACCTTTGGGTGATGTCGCATCCCGCTATCGTATGGTATACACTTATTTACCTCTTCACGGTGCCGAAAAATCTCGCCAGGAGTATACGGACGGTGCTGTCTTTGTGAGTCTCATATTTATATCTTCTGAACTGTACTTAATCATATATCAGAGAAACAAAACGATCAGAATACAAAAATCAACTACGCGACGGTTCCAACTGCCTCCTGTCAGACCCCCGAGGGAGTCGCTCGAGACAACACCAACTGCTACTGCCTCTCAACCCTCTATATCCTCGACTGTTGCTGAAGACCTTGCAGCTACAGGTCGTGAAAGGCACAGCTCAGGTGCCACTGTACCTGTTATCGACAAAAGGGTTTTGAAAACCGTTGTGAAAGACGCAAAGAACTCTGTTATCATGGAAACACTCAACAAATGTGGTTTCCACGATTCATCGAGTCGATTGACTGTAGTAAGAAAAGCACTCACTGATGCGTGCGCCTCTATTATCTTCGAAAGTGAGTTGCCGGTGCTACAACTAGGGTAGGCGCTAATGGATAACTAGCTCGCTCGATCGAACTCTGGGTTGACAACAATGTATCAGAGTTATACAAGACCATCAGTACTCCGATTTCGACAATACTCAATCGGTTCAAGCAGTGCGCACAGGATGTCGTTGAGATGCTGTACAAGCTGCAGATATCCATTTGGACCAACTTGACTTTCCAGATCAACCAGAACAAAACAACCGTCGAGTTCCTCGTCGGCAATGATAGCATTAATTATATATTTGGCGAACCAGTAAGAGTATGTACCGTTTTGCGACTCTTACTGTTCATGATGACAAGACCGTTGACAGCTAGAAGACGGCCGAGAGTTCCACTTCCCATTCAAGCATGATGGAGTTATGCAGATTGCAGAGCACGCTGTGTTTCGTGATGGCTATGACAAGTTCATCGAGTCAGATGAAAGTCTTGACAATATCATGGCGATCTCCGCAACAGCTGCGTGTTGCAGCTTGCAGGAGTTCTCGACCGGTAAATTCAAGCAAATTGATTTCACTTACAGCGCTTTTAACAAAATGTATGAGAAACTCATGAAGTTTATTTGTGAAAACCATTAGAACCTCTCCGATGTTGCTATCTAGGTGGAAATCGTTGTTTAAGCTTCTTCGCGGCAGAGCTTGTTGATCAGTAGATTATCTTTGTTATGGATTATCTTACATTGTAGTAGACACTGACAATCTCAATCTATTGTCAATTTAGTTCGCTTGTGTGCTTCCACCAATCGCATGAGTTCGCTAGTGAAGTCGTAAGCGTTGGTAAGTGTTCATAACGCGCTGTAGAGACTCGCGTTTCTGTGGGCTCATATGGGCTCATTTTACGAATTCTGACAACTGGCCTTCATGGCACGACTCGCACTATCATCCACTATGACTTCCCTATAGAGTGCACCACTTTCCTGCGAAATGCGCCATAGGCGCGATACTTTTCCACACAACGCGCAGCATTCCTGCGTGCGCGCCTTGCGCGCTTTCTCGCGCTTAAGCGCCCTGCGTCACACAGCATCCAGGAGCATCCATCCATCGTCCAACCAGTCCCTCGGTATGTCCCCTTCATTATCTGACCATATTTGGCATATTACACTTCCCATTTCGTCATGGACCCTTACTTTACATCACTTTACATCACTTACATACTTAGAGCGCTCCCTATTCGGCTCCGAGCCCTGGGAGAGCGCTTAGGTAGAACTTACATACTCTCATGTTCATTTTACACCCCACTATTATACCTTAGCTTCCTACCCACCACCTTCCTACCACTCAGTATCTATCACCAGTTAGTTCCATGCAATGCATGTATCCATCATCATCTTGAGGCCCTAGCATCAGTCTATAGCTAGTGGCACTGTCAGTATCCGTCTAGATCCGCGCTTTTCCTCTTATCAGTCTCAGTATCCATCTTCTACACTTGTGCACCACTTGCACTACCTTCCCGCGCTTCGCGCACTTTCGCACTTCGCTTTCCCGCGCACGCTTTCTCACACTTTCACCGCCATTCACCAGGGTTGTTCAGCATCATTCCGTGGATCCTTGCTTTCCTTGCTTCCCCTTTAGGGTCGAACGTTCTTGCATTCTGCGAGTATAGCAGCTAGGCAGAGCTGAGACTCACTTATACTGGCTGAGCACTTTTCTTATATGTGCCTGCCAGGTTGTGATACCCACAGCGCGTAAGTTAAGCGTTCATTTCGTCGTTTTGCAGATGTATTTAGTTGGTGGAATGTCAAGCAATGTTTGTTTGGTCGAACATTGACGTGAAAATTGAATGGAATAGTGTGAACTTCAAGTCATTCATCCCCCCAGCCAAGCTTCGTAATTCGTCATCCACAAAAATTTCATGCAGCAACACCTCAAAGATCAACTAGTTGAGCTGCGACAAGTATCATCAATCTCAATTCCAGGAAACTAGTCGACGTGCTGGCTGATAAAGATTTGGCACCTGCAGCGCCAAGAAGCACTGTCGTTCTTCCACCGGCAAGCATCATTGTGCAAGAGAGGGTCTTGACAGAGGCAGATTGGGACATGGAATAGATGTTATATGATACATATTTACTTAATACTGGTGAATGAACGCAAATTTCGCGAAATGCGCCATGGACTGAAAATTTTGCAGCGCCCGGATAGGCCCGGATCTGTCATATACCATATATCCGGTTACAGATCCGATGATCCGGATCTCAGATCCGATCCAGATCCGATGAACATATCCGTCGTCCGGTCCACAGATCTGCTTTGATTCTTATTTCATTTCCTGTTCATATAACTCTAACTATCGTTCATCTCCTTTCGGTATTCCTGTACACCAGTATACCGGTTATCCTTTACTTCCACTTTGCTTACTGATCCGCTACACTTACGAATCCGCTTTTACTTGTACTTCATTCCCAGTTCATGATTCGTGATCCATCCAACTTACCAATACGCTCCACTTAGACTCTGCTTATACTTTCGTACATAGCCTCGCACCTTTGCTTATTGATCATTCCGTTAGCTATCCGTAGTATATAAACCTTTGTATATGCGCTGTAGTAGATCAGTTCAAATATCATCTTAGATTGCACTCATTCCGTCTGGACTCTAAGTCCCTCCGTTATCCGTCCAGACTTGAGTACGCTACTCTTGTCTACTCCGAGACTTAGGATAGATTCCTATAGTCTACATATCCGCCTCTGTCTTCGGACAGTCCTCACCCGTTAGTTTCTAGTCCGGATCCGATCCGGATTAGCCGTTACTCTATACGTTCGATATCCGGAAGTCTTAACGGATCCGTTGCAATACTTATCCGTTGCGATACAAGACTTATCCGTTACAATACTTATCCGTCTCACTAGATGCGATACTTTAGCTCTCTGAAATAAGGGGCAAGACTCGGGAAAGGGGCACAGCGCACAAGCTGAGGCCGAAGCCCTTCGGATCCGATACTACTTGAGTTCGGTCTTAACAGGATCAGCCGGGCCGGTTTTGCCGGTGGTGGATATCCACCATACTCACCGGTAGATAACTGACCCCCGATTTCTCCAGGGTGGATATCCACGGTACACTAGTCTTCACGGCAGCAGGGACCTAACGCAGCCATTCTACCCATGAATCGAATTCTTCGCCCTTGTCACCTTGTTCCACGGTTCAGTCGAGATGGGTCAGAAGAGTTCTATCTCAATAGATACATTGATTTGGAGCTGTTTGAGCACCTGTCTTAGCATAGCTGGTGTGGCACTAATATTATAGGGCACAATATTGTCTACTGTGTGCGGGAGGAATTACATAGCTCCAGTTGCGATTAGGTTGAGCTACAGGTCGCTATGTAGTGCTACTGTATGTGGTGTGGGTGCTCTGTTGTGCTAGAGAGGCTACATGGCGCTATGTATCCTCGCAGGTTGCAAATGGTGGCCGAGCTTTTTCCTGATGTTAGGACTTATATTAGGACGTCAAGATTGTAACGATAACACCATGTTGTAATGACACAGATTAAACCTTGTATAAATGAAAGAAAAACTCGTCACCTGATGCATCGACCTTCAAAGCTTCACGTCCGGCACGAAGGTAACCTCGAACTGAGGGATTTGCAATTTGAACTCACACCGAGACACAGCAAGTGCGAAGTTTGAATTCTGGTCCATACCTGGTTCGACGTTAACATTCACTGGCACCAATTGACGAGTGCTACATTGCTTATCTGAGTCACAGGTGGGTATTTTGATTGTTCCATACCAATTTGCGGATATCTTGCTCCACAAGGCAGATCTTAGATGGCAATCTGCTGGCATTGCAGTGGATTGGTTATCCTATATCCCCATGATATTCAGCATATAAAAGCAAGGCGTCTTCTATATCGTTCTCTTCAGATTTATTTGATCCTTTATCATACCCTCACAATGATGCGTGTCCCTTTTGTCCTCGCCGTTGTTGCTGCTGTGACGACACTAATATCTGCTGGTGACACTGTAGAAGAATGTCCTATCTTTTGCATAGCACAGTCAACTTGCAAACACTGCCCCGATCACGTTTGCGTAAGTACGAGTAATCCGCGTCCTGGGTTTAACTAAATGACTCACCGGCTGGCAGGCGCTCTTTATATGCTCCTAGCGTGGTAGTGAGTCGTGTTTTCTGCGTTCATATTGGCGCAGTATGGCTGATGGCACAACGCGCGAGTTACTAGTAGTGTGTTGCTGGGTTGATCATGATTAACGAATTTGCTTCTGAACAAATTTCACCGCTGGTCAATGGAGATCTTGGAATGCATAGAAGATCCAAAGACCGATGTATCTATATTTCGTAGCCTGAAGACATAATTACCAAATAACCACGGAGAACCACGAGGTAGTCAAATCGCTTCTCGACTGGGCAAGAATCAACGGCAGGAAACGCTTCTGGCCCAAGAGAGAAGAGTAAATCACACTCACGCTAAGACTTTATTAACATCACCGGAACCCAATCTGCCCCTTTCGCATAATTTCGCGTCATTTGGATAAAGATGGGCTGCCCGCAAAGGGGCCAGCTGCGACAACATATAAGCTGACCACCCTTGACCTGTATTGGTGTACCACATACAGAACTAACCTTCAAAGATCGTGTGCACTATATTGTCAAATTTGTACTTCCCGCAACATAAACTGATCCTGCCTGGGGAATGACCATAGTCTACGTAGAGATGCACCTCAAGAGCCGCTCCTGTGGGAAGAAATGTCCTGCGGATGTGGGTCGACCACACGTTGTGACAGACCGGTTGAACTAGAGCCCCCAAAGGGGCCCACTGTGCCGCGTCCACTTTGATCGCGTGATCTCTGGTAAAGTGATCGTTGCGAAGTTTCAGATGTATCGTTTGGAGGGTGCCCTTGATCATCAGTAAGAGCCCTGGCATGCATTGAAGGTCTCGACAAGTGACATGGGAATGTGATGATCACAGGGGTAGAGGATTACAACAAACATTCATCTGCAAGCATGCATTCAACCTCTCGTTGATGGTCAGATTATGATGTCCAAATAATGGACGTGTTCATAATCGCGGTTTTGTCCTAATCCAATGACTGTGGTTGGCCCTGCATCAGTAGCTTCACTTGCATAACACCGACTTACGGAGCGCAGGTCTAGCCAGAAATAGTGATATCGAACGGTACCACTGTAGAAGTGAGCGCAGACCCTGAGCTCAAGTCGTGGACTTCAAACCCTAAGATCCAGAGCGTCGACATTAGGCTAGGTAGATTGCCGGAAATCTGAGAGGAACGGAGTCAAAGCCTGTGAACTTGTATACAAGCCATGGCATTGGTCACGAACTGTGGGAATAAGTCGAGAATCAAGTTTATTCACAAGATAAATCCTACAAATTTAAACGTTGGGTCATTAATTATATAACCGGCGGTTGCATTAACGAAGTCCGGGTTCTGAGATCTGATCCTTCACATTCAACTAGGTTATACAAGATACGCCTTGTTTTTGTCGGTGGCCGCGAGGAGTATCCATGGTAGGAGCTTCAAGTTAATCTATGCCATCCGATGTCTGCAGTTGATCAAACATCATACAAGGAGGGCTGGACACAGGATGGAAGGCAGTCACCATGGAAGCGTTCGAAGGATAGTGGTCCCTTGCGTGGCAGACCATATGTAGAACAAAGTCAAAGTTCCCTTTAAGAAGTTCACCGGCACCGCTCAAAGGAGCAAATGTAGGCAAGCAAAGAATGACAAACAAACGCGCCTTAAAGTCGCGTCGCGTCTTTCAATTTGCACTTCTTCCATTTATTACTTATTTCGCATTTTGATGCTGCTATGAACGCATCTACGCAGTCTGATATCCTTGCTATCGCAAAGGAGCAGCTCGGCATTCAGAAACACGTCAAGGTAAGCACATGTTGATTGGCGCTCGTCTGTGCGGTGTCGCTTGTGCGGCAAGGCTGAATATATTTTAGGACGCGTCTGTTCCCAAGTCCTATCTCACTGCGCTTCGTCGGCATTTAGATATTGATCCTTATGACACCAATGTCTGTTTTTATCATATCTGGTGTGATATCAATACCTCTAACGAGCTCAATTACAGTTTAGAGTCACGTTGCAACCAAAGACAGGATGTATGCGTTCCCTATTGTGGATGTGAAAAGTTGCTGAGTTAAATTTATAGATGGCGTGGTCACATGCTTGGAGCATGCTTGTGCTGCCATCAAAATCCCACTGAGTGCCAGATCCGGCCGCTCGGATGGAAAATCAGATGGTTTTGGTTGTTTGGTCAATTATACGGTATGGTATTGTGTATGCAAGTCTCTTTGCGTATGAACATTACCTCCTTAGGCCCATGCCAGTACACCGAAGCACAAACAGGCGAGACTTTCGCGCGTCAAAATGCTTCATGCTAACAAGGCGATCAAGAATGAAACGGTAAGTAAAGTCGCGTTTTCTGCCAGTTATATCATGACAATGATTGCGCAGCCAAATGTACTTGTATCAGATGTCGCCATCGATACAAAGCCACCGCGAGGTAGTTTGTTGGCACAGCTCGATGCAAATCTGAATGTAAACAACCTCTCCAGCCCAAGTACATCTGCGCGACGAGCCCCAACATTGAAGGCGTTCGTGTCATTACCATCGAGGCGCGGAACTGCCGGGACTACTGTAAAGCCTGAGCCGGCTGATACTGTCATTCCCCGAAAGCGCACTTCCTCGTCTCTCATGTTTCTGGGCGCGGAGGACGAGGAAGAAAAATCTAGTGTCTCCACTCCCTCCGTATCTAAGCGCACAACTCTTCAGCCACCCAAGACACTTCTGGCGCTCGTCAATTCCAACACGCAGCCTTCGCAAGGCCACATTCCCGTACAGCTCGCAGATCAAAAGGCTGTGCTTCCTGTGGCTTACCAGCCATCCTTGCACCGCAGTTCTGATGAAACTCGTTTAAGGATCGCCAACATTCAGAACGACTTAAATTCCCTGGCTAAGCTTTCTAAATTGACGAAAGACAGGACCATCGGTCAAGGATCTTCTGCTATGACTTTTCAGGTTCCTAGCCACAATGGCGACGATGCCGGATATTCTTATCCAGCGCTTAACCGCCAGCCTATTGCATCGGGATCACGCGTTCGTCTCAACGTTGCTATGGGGTCGGACACAGACTCGGAGGGGGATTGGGATTGGGAGCTGCCTGATATCTTGGGTGGTGCTGGCATTCGTGATGCACGCTTTGACGAGGATGGTGACTTCTATGGCAGAGGGAAAGACCTCTTTATTGGACCGACTGCGAACCCGGGCGAGTACGTCGCGAAATCTTTCTGAATGAATGTATTCTCACGTTCTTATTTCTGTGCTGTTGGCAGTATTGACAAGTTTTTGATCGCTGCTGGTAATGCGGAGCAATTCGATGGCAATGCCAGTGTCGACAGGGCCCTTGAAAAACTCGGACTGAAGAGCCTGTACGATCACCTTCCGGGAATGGCCATTTCTTTGTTGGCTCACCAGGTTATCGGTGTCGCATGGGCGTTGGAACGTGAGAAATGTAGCGACAAGGGAGGCTGTTTGAGCGATGAGATGGGCTTAGGGAAGACGGTGCAGATAATCTCGGTGATCATCGCCAACCCCTCCGGTGACCCTAGATGCAAGACGAACCTTATCGTCGCTCCGTTGGCTTTACTGGATCAATGGAAGCTTGAGATCGAGATGAAGACCACCAACAATTTGAAATGTCTAGTTTACCATGGTACGTTCAGAGTTGCATGTGGGTTTCGATTTAATCCAAGTCTTACGTTCTCTTCCATTGAGGTTCCAACAAACCCCGCAAGAAGACCGACCTGATGAAGTATGACGTCGTGTTAACTACTTATCATGTGCGTTCGAGTGTGATCTCTTCCACCAGTTACTGAACCTGGATCTGTAGACTCTCGCACTGGAATGGCCAGACCTGGAGGCGGAAGAAAAGGCCAAGCAGAAGGCTCAAAAGCGCAAGAAGAAGACCAATTCCTTCATCGAAAGCGATTCGGGAGATGACAGGAAACCTAAGAAGAAAAAGAAAGAATGTGAGCCACGGCGATCACTGTGGTCATCTAAACTGACTTTGTGTAGTGGGGCTTCTCTTCCAAGTCCAATGGTACCGTGTTATTCTTGATGAAGCACAGAACATTCGCAACCGGCGCACAAGTAATACTTGCCACGTTTCACCCTCCTATATACTCATGACCCTGCAGGAATATCTCGTAGCGTCACCGATCTTGACACGACCTACCGTTGGTGCCTCACAGGGTGAGCATCTCGTCCATCAAGACCATTATTCACTGATTTTCGGACAGCACTCCCATTATCAATGGCCTAGTTGATGCATACGCGCTATTTCGCTTCCTTCGCTTCCGTCCTTGGTACGATTGGCAAGAGTTTAATGGTCACGTCTCCATCATCGAGAAAAAGAATCGTACGTCAATGTTCGCCTAAGATCTCGCCTTCACTTAACCACGCTCTAACTACAGCTGAATTGGCAAGCACGAGACTCCAGGCTATCTTCAAATCAATTATGCTGCGTCGCAAGAAGGATACAATGTTGGATGGCAAGAGGCTCATCGAGCTTCCCACAAAACATGTAGAAATGGAGAAATTGAAATTCTCCCAGGAAGAGCTCGAAATATACCAGATGGTATGTTCTGCTGATGCATAGATATGTTGCACTCATCGCCATGTCTTTCAGGTCGAAGCTCGCTCCCAAGCTAAATTCAATCGTTTTCTTCGTGCTGGCACTGTCTTGAAGTGAGTCGCCCACTGTTTAGAGAAAATTTGAAAATCTCAATTACTACCTATTTAGAAATTATCACCAAGGTACTGCACCATTTCACTAACGCAACCGTCGTTAATGACTCGTTTAAAACAGTTCTTGTGATGCTCTTGCGTCTCCGACAAGTGTGCTCCCACCCCGCTCTTATTCAAGAGACTTCCGAAGCCCTTGTTGCAGCAGATCAGTTGGATGGCGGGCATAACCTCAAGGCTGAGCTGGCCCGCGCAGTTCGACTGGTATCATCAGATTTTGTGACGAAGCTGAAAGCAAAGTATTTTCAGTGCGCGCTGGCACGTATACAGGCAGAAAAAGAGGTGTGTTTCTCCTGTCAAATGGATTTCATGATGTTTACACGAATATAGTCCCTGGATGCCACTGCCGATGGTGAGGAATGCCCTATCTGTATGGACACGTTCACCGAGGCACGTGTCACGGCATGTGGTCATACTTTCTGTCGCGAATGCATTGCCAGCGTCCTTAATACTCCCTTTGTCCAAGACGCGGAGGATTCTCGTAAATACCGTAGTAATGAGAAGCCTTGTGAGTCACGCACGTAAACCTTCCTCTTGCCACACTCATTTTGTTTTGCAGGTCCTAGCTGCCGCGATCCCATTTCTGCAGATGCTGTTTTCATTCGCGAAGCATTCGAACCCACTGATGCCGAGTTATCGGGAGATGTATCGGCATCTTCCGATGACGAGATGCCTGAGATCTCTGATATGATGCTTCGGGAATCGAAGGGCAAAGGCAGGGCTAGGCGCATTCGTAAAAAGCGTGCTGTGTGTGACTCGGATGATGAATCGGAAGATGATGATGATGACGACGACGACATCAGTGATTTCATTGTCGAGGATGGCGAGGATGAAGAAGAGAAGGATGCCAGGCGCGACATCAAGAAACGTCTGAGAAAGCGCCGCGCGATGGTCGTTGAGTCTGATGATGAACTTGATGCAGATGAGAGAGAAGTGGTCATAGGTCGGAACTCCAGGAAAGTGCCTGCTTCCATGGGTCAAGTTAAAATGATGTCGCGCTTTCTTCCTTCTACAAAGATGAATGTAGGTTGTCGCATTTCCTTTCCAAAATCATTTTTAATGTCGTCTCCCAGCACATGATGGAGCATCTAGAGAAGTGGGCCAAGCGAAGTCCCGGCGACAAGGTTGACTTCTAAGCAATACAGTAATCGTGGTGCTGATGATACTTGCAGACCATAATCATATCACAGTGGACCGAATGTCTCAAACTTGTCTCCGACTTCCTTGCGGAGAAGAAGATACCCCATGTCAAGTGCGAATCTTCTGATGACGTCGTGCATGCTTATCTGAATTGATGTGATCTTTCGGTCTAGGTACCAAGGATCCATGAGTCGCAGTCAAAGGGACCAGGCTGTTCGAGTGTTCATGATGGGCAATACTGCACAGGTCATGCTTATGTCCCTGAAATGTGGAGGTGTTGGGTTGAATTTGACAAGGGCCAATCGTAAGCCTCTCCAGTTTCTTACACCACTGCGTTCTGACTCCTCACAGGCGTCATTTCACTGGATCTTGGCTGGAGCGAAGCAATCGAGAGTCAGGCGTTTGACAGAGTCCACCGTCTGGGTCAACAGAAAGATGTCTTCGTGCAGAGGTTGGTCATTGCCAATACTGTCGAGGATCGTGTTCTGGCTCTCCAAGAGCGCAAGGTACAGCAGATTGTACTCTATTTATGCTCTGTTAACGCATAATTTCAGCGAAACCTTGCGGATGGCAGCCTTGGCGAAGGCTCTGGAAAGAAGATTGGCAGTAAGTATTTATCATGAGTCTTTGGATACGTTGTTGATGCACACCTCTGCAGGGATGAGTGTCCGTGAACTGGCAAATTGTACGTGTCGTGTTACTCCTTCCTGCACGTTTGCTCATACTTGGATAGTGTTTGGTCTCGACCACCGAGGCAACCTTCTTTGATGAGAAGCATAGGACTGCATAACCCAAAAAAATTTCCACTCGTGTGTGCTTCATTCTTTTCCTGCTACTGGCGTTGTAAATTGTTCTGGCGGCTATCATTATCCTAATTCATCGAATTTGTAGACGTATACCTCGCAGATGTTATACCTTAGATCACGGTTTTTTGTAGTCCTCAGTAAATAACTATTAGCGTATAATTCTCAATTCAGTCTATGTATTTATAAACCATGTGGAGCTAGTAGCGTAGTTGGCCAATCCAAATCGTTCGTCGTGCAAGCTCAAGTTCATGAAACTAACCTTTATGGTGGATTTGTGGTGGATCTTTGGTGACGGTTCGATTTGCCGCCGTGGCGCATACGTTTTTCAAAGTCCGCCGTATTTATTATTCTGTATACAGAGCACACCTAACGTCACTTGTACGTCACACCAGGTTTCTGAGTCGACACCGGTGACATTGCCAAAACGTTCGTGCTCGTTGTGAGCAACGGTGAGCTCAACTACTGCAGCATCACTTCGTGTTGTCCAGCGTATACAGTGCTGGTCTCGAATCCGACGGCAGATTCGCATCGACGCCATGTGTGCGCTCCACTTACACCTGCCAAGGTTTTAGTACTCTTTGATCAATGATAACTCCAACTCAGCTCTCTCAAGAGTGCGGAATGTGATCACCTTGTACTGCAACACGTGCAAATGCCTACGACGCGTCCAGCAGCTAAAGTGCGGGAGTATGGGATGTCATGACACCAAATTGAACCGTCACCAAAGATCCACCATACCGGAATGGCCGCATCCTCGCAAGCGCATCGTACGACGACACAGTGCGATTATGGAACCTCGGTAACAACCAGTGCATCAGTTCGCCCCTCTATCATGTATCTGACATGCAATTTGTGTCGTTTTCGGCAGATGCGAATGCCACTAGCCACCGCCCTTGAGGACAAAAATGCGTACACTTGGGATATTTCTGCGATAGTATAGAGGTTGGCCTCGATGAACTTTTGTTGGATCAGCGCGACAAGCTGCGACAAGTCGCTACTCGCTGTACGTGACACTTTCATCGCAGATCTTATCAATCATTATCAACATATGTAGGTTGATGCTACACGACGTCCAGTCCGTCAGCGAATCAAGGTATCCAATCGGGTGCCCCAATACTATATTGCCTCTTTTCATCGCCTCCTCTGTCAACATGGAGCGTTTGCTAGAGCTTGACCGCATTATGAACTCGTTTGCTCATCATCATCATCATTCTCGTGCTGCCCCATCTACTTTTTACCTACTTCCGCTGTGAGCTTCACTTTGTGATAACCACTTAGTAAGACCAGTTAGATGAAGCTCTGACGAAACTATCCATGAGTGAATGTCAGGGTGTTCCGAGAAAAAAATAACTTGTTGGCAGGTTTCGAAACTGCGCAATTCAAGAGAAACAGATTTTGATTCTGTTATGGTAACCACTCCGAGTCAGCTAAGACCAATTAGATGAACCCCTGACGAAACCATTCATGAGTGAATATCAGGATGTTCAGGGAGAAAAATAACTTGTCGGCAGGTTTCGAACCTGCACAGTCCAAGAGAAATAGATCTGACTTCTGTTGTGGTGATTACTTTGGCCAGTACACTTCAGAGGTTGAGATGAACCTCCGAAGAGCTGTCCATGAGTGAATGTCAAGGGTGCGATAAGACATTTGTCGGCATTGAATCCGCATCACCAATATTTCTAATATGTTCTGGTGCCAGTCGGCTATGACTACTTAAGATAGACCTTGAAGGATTCATCCACGAGTGAATGTTCAGCAAGAACAAGCATGAAAACCCGCAAACAAAGTTGGGTGGTGAGACAATGTTGAATGGATATTGAAAATTCCAAAGTTTGACGCGCCCATCAGCGGCGGTCAAAATTCCCGCCTCGACTGCTACAGCCGCTATACACATAATGCAGACTTCGGCAATGAATATTCAAGCTCTGAATGACGCAGCACAATTCTGGACATTGAAATCGCTCCTCACGTCTCCTCACGTCTCCTCAAGTAAGTCAATAATGAGTGTTCAGATCAATCAAAATGGCGCCTCTATTGCCCATGAAGCAGGGAAAATAACAAACTCCAGGAACAACTACATTGACCAAGTCAGCAACGAACTATATATTGTGCCATCAGCCACAGCACCAATGCGAAAGCGGAAACACGGCTCACTGTCCAGATGTGCTCATGGACGGGCTGCCAGCCCATCGGTAAGCAGTCTTACTGGCAGACTTTCTGACCGCCGCTCTATTGATATTGCGAGGTGCAAGGGGTGAGCAACAGGGTTGAATACTGGATGCAAAGCAAGCTATTCATACTCACTTTCATTGGGGCACAGCGGTGACTGCAGCAATCATCGTTCGTATTGCAGATCTTTAAGGAAGGTTTGCACTGTGCGGCAGTGACAGACATGCATGCTGCCAAAGTAGTAATGACGACGAGGAACTTGAAGGAGAAATGCATGATATATGCAAAGTGATAAAACTTTGCAAAGGGGACTCTGAACTACTGAGGTAGACAGAGCTTGCCTTTATATCCTGAAAACATTATTGTGGGCAAAAACTTGAAGTTCTATTGATTTGGAAAATTGGTTGCGTCTGGATGGCAGAACTTCACAACGGATGGTTTAGGATGAATCTATTGGAGCCCTAGAATTAGAACCTGCGTGGATAATATATACATCTGAACCGCTGGGACTCATCGTCGGCCACATTACGCAAAAAGAATGAAAACCCGAACGTGCAGTCTATATCATTAATAATAACATATAAAAAAGGCTAGACAAGAATAACTCACTTAGTAGAGGCTTCGCGAAGAAAAGCACAAAACGACGGGGATCAGTGAAAACCTGCTTCAGTGGGATCGTCGTCGCTTGAAGTCCTCCCCTTCCTGTTGTGCTTCTCCACTGTCTTTCATCTTGAACGAAGTTGAGCCTTCGACTTCGAGCAGTGCAGCCCGAGTGTCAACGGTCCCTGGGCAACCGCTACAGTGACAAAGGCCAGAATCCACCTCTACATTGACACCCCGATCTGGTCCACTCACATCCACTGATACCCGGAATGGTGTACCAGATGAGGTTTGACTGCGAGGTTGGGCATGAACGTCCACGCCGATATGGTGAGCGGGGACGGGTTCAAGTCACATAGGATTACCAATCATTTGCCAGCGCAAAATGAAATAAAAAGACTAGTTTGACACAAGACATGCTAAAAAATTCCCAGCGTATATGGAATGTTGGCATGTATCATGAATTAGTATACGCATCGATAATGACAGACACAGATGGTGAGGTATATTGTCAGGGTACGACTCCACCAGATACCCCTACCGGGCCCCAGTTGATTTCTTCATATGTGCAAGAATCTTGTCTACTTCGGCAGTGTTCCTATCTGCGAGCTTCTGAAACTAATAGGTTGGATAAGATAAAATGATGAAGTGAGTGAAAAGCAAGTCAGACTCACTTCTTCGAGCTCAACTGAGTGCTTTTTGTAGTCGCCCTTTTTGACACTGGCCTGTTGTATTTTTCGAAGTTGCACACGTGTATCCTCTGCCATTCGCTGAGCAGTCGCAGTCAGCGCATTGCGGGCTTCAACTGTTGGCCTAAAAGAGAAATGATGAACGATCATGCCACAGGAAGACGAAGCGAGCGACCTAGGTATAGGAATCTTGATTGTCCTGGAGTCCTGTCTCTGAGGAACGATATTTGGTAGCTTTGCGGCATATAGGGCCTGTTCTACTGCTTTCAAATTCTACTGGTGCACCAATAAGTGAATGTCCCCAAGCCTGACCACGACGAGGTGCTTACATGTTCCTCAAATACCGTAATAATCAAGGTTGAGCCGTCTCGAACGCCAATGGTGGCCACTTCCTCGATTTTTACAAGGTCCTTTCCTTTGCCTGGAAGTTCTATGCGTACTGGCGAGAGAAGGGCTGGGGTGACGCGACCACTTGCACGAGTTTCTAGGCCAGCTACCTCTTTGCGGTACCATTCGACAGCGGCATTCATCTTCGCCTCAGATTTTCCATATTCCAAACGAGCAACCTCAGAAGTAAGAGCTTGTTTGGACCCCGGGACTAAGTCTGCAGTAGATTTCGCCTTGGACTTCGACGCGTAAAGCCGGATGTATGATGTTTTGAGTGACCGAGAGATGACATTGTGTGTAAAACTGCTCTGTGTCGGACTGAGAAACCGAAGGCTAGTACGAGACACAGCTCTTGACGAGCAGGAGGCAGCAAGCCGCGCAGCACTGGGTAGCGACATGATTAGTATGTAGGGTACTCTTGGAGTACTCTTAAACTTAGATCTAATTTTTTTGCCGACTTAAACTCGTACAATTTCCTTTTGAGACGAGCCGCGGCCCTCCCAGCGGCAATCACTTGTAGTGATAGCCAGCAGCTACATACTATCTAGGGCTATATAGCACACATCCGTACGACACATACTCATCAACGATATTCTAGCAAGCATGTCGATTTTCTGGACATCACCAATCAGCAGAGTTTAACCGTGGAGCACAATTGGGTCCAGTTGAATGTAAAAGATGGGGAGAAAAGCTCTTTGACACCGGTGGAATTATCAACATGATGGCAATGGCTGAGTTGAACACAGGAAACAAGTCAGTTGACACCGTCTGGGATGGCGCAGGAAATAATGGTTTACGAAAGAGGTAGGTGTGGGCGCTCAAGCTCAAGCTCAAGTCTGAAGTAGTTGTTGACCACCATGTCGCATAACCCCCAAGACCAGAATTACTACAACGGTCAACAGCATAGGCATGGTCGAGGGGAAGGGTACAATGCACTCCAGCCTCGTGCGTCTATATATCACGATATGACGCTTTCTGATTTTCTTTCGTAGACCATCGCATGCAGTTGAACAGTCATCTACAACATAGAATCAGATCTGCCGTGACGCGGAACCTCTGGTTCGAGGCCCGGGAATTATCGACCGCTAATCCCGGGAACGTACCATACCACGGATCGTGGTTGTCTACTGTGTAGGTGGACGTTCCGGCAGGCTTTGGCAGATCGGGTTTGGAGCAGAGCAGGTATAGGCCGGTGGAGTGGATCAGCGGAGCGAGGGGCAGAGTGAGAGGTAGATGTGTCATGGGGCATGGTGAAGCCCGGAGTCACGATGTACATAAATGCATGCAGCGCAGGGATCATCAGAGACAACAGCTTGGTTCTTCTTCTCCCTCTCTTGAGAGCAGTGCCGGGTAGTCCAACTGTCAGTTGTTTTTCAACTGCTTCTTGATGCATACCTAATTTATTCTTAATCAAAAGACTCAAAACCGTTGAGTATGGCAGAAGCAGCAAGGGAGCAACCAAGTCGCCTGCCAGAGTGCCCCGAAAGCCCTCTCGGAAGCTGGTTATCTCCGCTTTTCTTTCATACTGTACTTCACTTCTTTGCCAGGAACGTCCGGGAACTCCACCGAGCGATGTGCCCCAATCAGTTGTGAGACTCGTCCTTTCCTCATGTCAAGATCCTTGACGCTCGTCTCGTCTCCAAGCAGCAGCACAGAAACAGAAGCTCGGCGATATATGTCACTGGTCAGTATAGTTTGTCGTATTTTTATTCTTGCAAATCTGACACTGGTGCAGGGAAACGATTTCTGGGCTGATGCCAACCCTCCGCCTAGTCGCACAATTCCTCCTGCGAGCCCGTCATCTCCCTTTTCATTGAGATAGTTTGCTCTTCTCGCTGCGTTTCAGCACTTGACATGCGAAGACGCTACAATCAAAACTCCAGCCCCAGCGTCGGAATTTCAGCTTGCTTCCTGTAGGAAACTCTATACGCACCGTCGGTGTAGCTCCCGGTCGCAAGAAAAGGGGTTGTCTCGCTCGCCATTTCCCCCTCTGATATCAGTATTGAAATAAATACGTTTGCAGAGATTTTCATTGCCCCTCCTACCGCGGCAGAGGTAGCTGCAGTTTTACAACGTGCAAGTGGCAACGAGACCTGCAGTTCAGCGCAACTAGGTCAACTTGCGCCCAGGATACGAGTGTCTCAAGGACGATCGACAGAACCACAAGGAGCAAGTGGTAGAACGGGAGAGAGAAGTCTCCTGTGAAGTTGGGTGCTGTGGGTTGTTCTTTAGTTGTGGTCATCCCACTTCGCATCAGTCATGAAGTCGCCTACTGAATGCGTCTCGCACCAACATGAGTCAGGCCTCAGAGACAACCATTGCTGGTGGGAAGTTAACGGAAACAGAATGTTAAATTGTGTTCTTCTAGAATACCCGGGGCCATACCCGTGCAGTGTTACAAGTAGGCCACTTACCGATGATGGCATATAACCCAGTAACAACGTCTCAAACACGGACACATCTGTCAGTGTGCGTACGGGATAACTTCGACCACCTTCTTCGCTGATTTGGGACTGAAATCGAGCAAGAACTGAACCCTACACCGTACCTCGCTCCGGGTAAAATTCCAACATATACTGTAGGGAACATTCATAACTTAGAACGGATTGCATAGAAAGGAATGTATTAGCCTTAAGACACAACATTGTAAAGTGCTTTCAGATAAGTGATAAACGAGATATAAACGAGTGGAAGGGTGCCGAGTCCAGACATAAACGAGCGAATAACCAAAAGAAAAAACATCATCAAGAGAGAAATAAAAAAAGCGACAAGATCATTTCCAAAGGGCGTCTCTGCATCAATTCAGGACACATACATCCCTCAGTCCACCCATTTTGGGCCCTCACGGGTCCGGTATACATGGTATACTCGTCCGCGGTATCTGCTGAGACGTATAAAACTCCCAACGATTGGTGGTGAATAGGTGGGGGAAGCTGGTATTGAGTAGGTTGTGGTTGGTATTGGTACGATGTACCAGGGAGCGGGGGCCTGCAGTATCGTGGTTGATAATTTGGATCGTTTTATGTGCTACACATCTCCGCAGGACAACGTATCTCCACTAGCCTGGAAAGTAATGGACGTCATAGCTATTCCCTCGTCGGCCCTGGCCACGATCTTAGCGTGATGTTCTCGAACGCTGAGGATCAGACGCGGTCCCAGCACAAACATTTGCAACATCTGGGCAATTGAAAGAATGCCAGTGTAAGTAGCACCTCCCATGGACGACGAGTCCTGCAGAGAAATGATGAGAGAGTGGTCAGCTACAGATGCTAGTCACAGGTCTACACACCATAATATTTGGAGACAGTGAACCAAGCATAAAGCAAGCCACAATAGCAAAGCTAACAAACGTGGATCTTCAGTAAAACAAGATAATAGATTCCAAATCACCGAACTCACGCTAGAAAGTAAAATGCGTGACTCTCTATTAATATCGTAAGACAGTCCCCAATGGTCGATCCTGTCGGCGATTGTCGCAGTTCGCGGAAGTACTTTATAACAATCCAGACTGTAAGAAACAAGGCGAGGATCTCCCATACAGCGGTAGATATCACACTCTCGTAAGCCAGATATATCATGCGCGGGTCAAACTTGGCAGTGCAGGTATGGTAGCCGGAAAGGATGTCCTCCTCTGATAAATGACCGTGAGTTTTGCACGATTTCATCAATTATTAAAGCTTACGCCCTGAAGCACCCAGGTTTCCATTTACAATCAGCACTCCGGAGATGAGCGTGGAGGCCAACAAGACTACAACAAGAAATACGAGCAACTTTTTGGATCCCTGATACATGGCATATATCCGAGCAATCATGATGGCTTGAATGATATTTCAGTCAAAGTCAATATCAGCAAGGCACCGCGGATAAGCTCACCGCCTAGCATGGCATTGACGGTGATAGGAGTCCATGCCTGTATGAACCAAATGATAGTGCCTGAAACCCGGTTACTTGGATATAGAATAAATGCTTCAAAATGAACTCACAGCTGTTGAAGTCGTTATCTTGAAGACATAAGCCGGTCGAGAATGTCACTCACTCCTATACAGGATCATTGTTAGTAGTTGAATGGGAATGGCAGGCATCGGTACAGAATACCCACTACATCGGTAATCGAGACAAGGAGATTCGCTGCATGCCGCCAGTCAGAAGGAGCAGACGCATTTGAGGACACATACACAGAATGTTCATGCTGGTTGCAAGATTAGCACATTGCAGTATTATATAGATATCCTTGTGAACGTACATAGAAAATAGTATTCCAATGTAGCGCACCTAGCATATGTTGAAGTCAGCACAACATGCCAACTGCGCTCATAGCAGTCACGTACACAAATATAAAGAACGGTCATGAAGGACCAACGCCGGCTCTGCTCCGAGTCAATTGTATCATCATCCTGTTTAGTTCTGATATAGGACTTTGCTCACTAAGATCAGTTCGAACTGTTAAAGCATTCTTAGTGAGATACGCAGGTCATGACATCAACTTACCTCTTGTCCGAATGTCGATGCTTAAATAATATATACATATCAATGATCCCTCGGTTGAACGTATTGTCTCGCTCACCCCAGTCGTATACCACCGCAGTAGAGCCTGCAGCTGCGAAGTGATAGTCAAAGATATTGAGATAGAGTCACCATTGGCATCCCAATTACTCTCTACACACCTACAAGATAGTTGCAAAGACGAGAAAAACTGATGAGCGGCCACCAAGCAGGATCATCTGAAACTATGGTCATATCGGGATGGGGCGTATTTAAGTGCGTGCAGATATACCGCTGTCCATCATGATCGCTTTTATAGCACTGGGTGTCCGCCGTTGACGGTTGCTCGAACCACAATCTTATATCCGTACTATTCCGTAGGCACGATAATGCGGAATAGAAAGTTATTTCGGACTTCGAAAAAACTTTTGCGAAAGTAATCTGTACTTACTTACATTATGAAAGATGGTCTGCACCGGCGCCAGAAACTTTGTATTTTAAATAGCCGTAAGTACTTTACTCATTTCGGGTGAAGGCAGAGCTAGGCAGAGATACAGGAAGGGTGATATTAATAGAGAATGGTCACTTCAATGTGCAGCACGTTCTGAATCTGAATCTCATCTTACATAATCCCCTGTTATCAGTCGGACCTCTAATACAACTCAATGTTGCAGCCATCCGAGTCATCGAGCGATATATAATGGCTTCAACATATCCTCACTCCCCGTATGTTTCTTCAGTTTTGTCAGTTCGATCTTCTCGTCATGTTAGCTTATCCACACATCCTCACTTCCCCCATGTTTACTCCTTAATTAGGCCTTCTGGGCAAGTCTTTTCTTCACCCTTCTTCCTATTCGTCCTCAAGTTCCCAAAATAGCTCTAACGGCTGAATTACATTTTAGCAGCGGCCTGACACAGAACAAGACTCGGATAAGTGATGTGCAAAGATATGTAACAATAGTGACTAGTGACTCGTTGCACTTGCGGGTCTTTCGCATAAGTATAAATAATAAGGATCAAAAATCGACAGAAACAGAGAAAGATTGTGCATAGAAAGGGTACAGGGAAGCGAGGAACTCGGAGAAGCCTGAGACGGGTTTGATCGAAAGGAACCAGTGGCCGCGAGAACCAGCGTGGGCACTCGTGGACATAAGGCGTACACAATTCTTAAGTGGCAAAACTCTAAGCTATGTACAAGACCAACCATCGCCCAATGCGCTCGCAACCAGTGATTTTGAAAGCAGGGAACCCCATGTGTGAATCGTGACTGTACTGGCTGATCATGCAGAGCCAAGGGCTCCTGATTTTACACAACACCATACTCCGTTTGCACTGACATCACCGTCTCGCACCAGTGTCGATATCACGATCTAATAATAGGAACGTATTACATTGATAAAAGAGTGTATTAGCCTTTAGCTGTAGACAAAACATCGCAAAGTGCTTTTAGATAAGTGATAAACGAAATATAAACGAGTGGAAGGGTGTCGAGTCCAGACATAGTTGAACGAGCGAAAAAACATCATCAAGAAAGAAAGAAAAAGTAACACAGAATGATTCTCAAGTCTCGAGATTATGCAAAACTAATGACGCCTATATTCATACCCTGGCATCTCCGAAGGGCGTCTCTGCATCAATTCAGGACACATACATCCCTCAGTCCACCCATTTTGGGCCCTCGCGGGTCCGGTATACATGGTATACTGGTCCGCGGTATCTGCTGAGCCGTATAAAACTCCCAACGATTGGTTGTGGGTAGGTGGGGGAGGCTGGTATCGAGTAGGTTGTGGTTGGTATTGGTACGATGTGCCAGGGAGCGGGGGTTGTGCCGGAGGCTGCGACCCTGTTGCGGAGGAGGCACCATGACCGCGCGGCACAGGAACATACCCATGTTGTTTCTTGCGGTGCCTCGTGAGTTGGGAAGGGTCGTGTGTCTTGTAGTCACAATCATCTTGAGGACAGATGTAGTGTTTCTCGCCCGAACTAAAATGAGATAAAATAAAATTCTTCATTACGTGGAATCCATGACGGTGATGATTGAGCACGTACTGCCTAGCAGTATGGATGTCGTAGCTGCATTTTTTCTTTGTCACAAAGCCACACTCGGGCCACGTGCAGAAGTATCCCCTGCGTGAGCGAATATAAGTGAGGTGAGCTGTATACCGTAGAGGAGAAACACGTACTTCATTGTATGTGTGATCTCATGGTTCTTCAGCTCGGTGAAATTGGCAAAATTTTGGTTGCAGCCAGTAGAACAAACGTAGACCTAAATATTTCAGGAGGGTCTTCAAGTGTGTGATGAAGCATGCGCGCGATTGGGCTTACCTTAGGCATGATTGGTTATAGAAGAGTATGAGTGGGGATACTACTTGATTCTGTGTGAGGTGAATGTGTGATTCAACTTGGGGTGATGATGATGCTAGGGTAGGTATTGGGGTAGGTATATATACGATTCCCGGTGGTGGTCGTGCCATTGTGGTTTGTGGTGGACAGACACATGCGGAGTTGCGCTTCTCGGTGGACAAACGCTTGTGGAGTTCGTACAGGGACGCTTTGTGGAGGTTACTAGTATTACAAGTGGATGTGGGCCATGTGACGCGAGAGTCCATTGTCCTTGAAGCAACCACATCCGTTTGGATGCTTCATTATCTGTTACAACATTGAGTCAGCACCAGGATAATTATTTGCCAGAGATATGTACATCGATGGAGGTCAGCTCGATGTGGATAGTTGAGCAAAGACTGACATGGAATTGCGTGACACTGAGGCCCGACAGGGCTTTGGAGGTCTTTGTCGTTGTGACCGGCCTGGGCCCTACATCAGGCAGTCACTCGACCAATCCCTTCAGTCGGTGCATTGCATGTCCAAGCGTAGCGTTTTGAGGGTTCCACCCTTGTAGACACGACCAGGTGAGAATTGTCAATTTCAGTGGTGAGATGGTCGAAGAAATGAGATCGGACGCGCGATTGATAGAGTCCGTGCATATCAGTGTATTTTTGTCTATTGCTACTAATGCTAGACAGTACGTCGACGTAATGTTGGAGCAAAGAGGGGACTTGTCGAGGTCTGCGGTTGACATTTATGTATGAATGTAAGTACAAGTGAATATCAGGAACGTACCTTACTAGCAAGTTCCAACGTCCAAGTATGTCGGAGGTGTGCGTTCTTGCTGAGCCATGCAATTACTTGAGGGACACCTTGCATGACAGATGAGTGCAAACATTGAATTAGGAGTAATCACATACTCATTTGACGCAAGCTTCATGCGTCATCACGACTCTGCAACCACAAAATTTGCAAGCAGATTAAACTGCCCAGCAACCAATGCACTCGTCTTCTCAGAGAGTGCATGATGGCACATTTGACATCAGGTGTAGCCTCGATATAATGGTAGCTAGAATCATTTTTGCCGTAGCTGAGAAATATAGTCAAAAAGAGTTGAAAATGCTCACAATACTTTTTTCCGACTTCTGCCATTCTGCCCCCGATGCCAAATGTTGGCAAGAACAAGGCATGTCGTGTACGTGTATTACCTTGCTTACAACAGAGGTCAAGACCTCCAGCACCGCTCGGCAAAGTATTTTCTGCTCGTATGTAAGGTCAAGCACCGTGCCATCACGTGTTTGCTAACGCCTGCTACACCCAACCCTGCAGTCTCTCTCCGCCTACCACACCTAATTTCTAACTCGTACCCTCCGATCCCTCCCGCGTTATGTGTCAGGCCTAACCGCAACAACATTATGGAGACATAAGAAATGTTCTAAGTTCGTCCAGCTTCGACAAAGGATCCCAAAACAGACGACACGTCGAAGTCATCATTAGTTACCGTTCGCGAGTGCAAGCAGATTGTCCTGTAGTAGTGTAAGGCTGACTATGAGTTCGAAGGGGAAAGTGAACGAAACGACCTAGTTGCGAGATGTATAGTTAGATAGCGAGATGATAACAAGACGAGACGTTTTGAGGCGGAGACTTTTGTCAACATGGAGCGTTCGGACGTGTTTTGGAGTGGGGAATTAGCACATGAGATTCTCTTGGATTTCGCTATTCCTGGATTCCGCTGCTCAATAAGGACTGTACATCAAGTACTCGCGAAACGGTAAGGGTCCTCGGGTATAGCTAGGCCGAACGATTATGTGAAAACGGAGGAAGTGGCGTTGGACCTGACAGGGTAGCGTCAAGTATAGACCCCAATAACAGGTACGAATGACATCACAGGCGGCTTGGAAGTCGTTCCTGTAGACATTAATGTGCAGTGATCGTCGAGCAAATAATGGCTTCAGTTATATTAATATGTCTGCTAAATATGATGACTCCTTCATCGCAGCCAAAGTTATGTTGTTCGGTGTACCTGGGTGCAACGAGCCAAAATTTACGAGATCGACGGAGTGTTGGCCAGGTCTGGTTCCCCTCTCCCAGGGGGTGAGAAGATGGTCGACAGGCAACCAGAACGTTCAACGCAGATTTGCACGATAAGAATCCGAAATTCTGAATACAAGCCAAGATGTTCGAATGTGAGTGCTACACGGCATATGCGTACCTGATACCTGTCTGTCGATACTGCCTTCGCGTAGTCCCACTGACCAACTGTTGTAGGACACCGCTTGTGTACGACTTGGACTGGACTAAAAAACTTTTTGTGCGACTTCTCGTACCACCCGCGTGCAGATATCGAGAGTCTATTACACCGCAACCTGAGGCAACTCAAAATAAGGATTACCAAGCGTTTGACGCCGGAACTTGCCGTTTCGACACTTACCGCAACTACCACTTCAACCTCCAGCACGGTCCCTGACAAGCCAATTCCCTCGTCATTAATTCATTGCCGACCCTCAGCGCTCAGCTCTCTTTTCTCATCACTGTCAACCCATTATCAGTTTGCCGCTCCCGAATCTGTCAAAACCACTATGCGACTCTCGTTATTTTGTCAATACCATACCCGCTCATACCGCCATTCACCTAATCTTTCGTACCCTCTTTCTCTCCATCCTATCCTGTCAGGCGCGACGCCACTCCTTTCTTCCTCCATCGTCACATAATCGTTTGGCCCAGCTGTACTCAACCCTTACCGTTTCGAAAAGTATAAGTAGCGCATGTACAGTCCGTACCAAAGTAATAATATTCACCATCAGCCGCATTTCGATTATCAATATCTCTCGTCTCAGCTGCGCCACATTCCTTATCACAGTATATTCATATTCGAGCCTCTAACTGTACAGCGCACTTATATCCTACAAGTGGTCTCCACACCCCTTCGCATCCACAAGACCTTACAGGTTCTTACACTATCGTAAAGAATCTCCGATAAGATGTTCTAAATTGATTTGTGCCAGTCTTTCGAGTGACGGAACACAGTTGCATCAGTATAACAAGCGGGGGAGAGTAGCATTTGCCTGCTCTCCAGTCTCAATCAGCATGTCAATCCTCACAACCACGAAGCTTGCAGATGAGCTCTTCTTGCGACCCATCGTAATATCGATGAATAGCTTCGCCCTGTCAACCCTGATGTCCTATGTCATGTCCGCCAACGGATGTATTGACTGGAGACCAGTACGCTCATTAATTTAATAATAAATAATGTCGCTGATGCATTTGTCTTCGTAGATCACCATATGTGTCACGTCGGATATCCTTGCCATGGGTGCTGACCATCTTAAGGATAAAGAGGAGGAATTTTCGTCGGACCGCAATAACGTCAACGACCCACGCCTCGCCTCTTGGTTTATATATGCACGAACCTTCCTCGCCGCCAGCGCTGTACTCCTTGCATTGGCGCTATCTCAGTGTCCAATTTCAACACTCCTCACCACAGCAGTGTTCGTCGCTCCCGCCTTACTCTGGACTACTCCGATCAGCTTCAAGAAGTTTGCGCTGATCTCGAGGCGTCTTCTCGGAAAATTTAGCGGAGACAAGCATCAGCCTTCTACATCTGCGCCTGTCCTTGTTATCAAACGCATTCCTGGCATGAAAGCCATCTTTAATGGCATCATTCGAGGGTACGTTTGCATGTCTGCCTTGAACGATCCACGTGTAAACTAATGCTCTTCAGATGTGGCATCTATGCTGTGGTCCTCTCCGTGTTGTCGGGATCAGGCAATCTGACTAACACGCTGCCATCTCCATGGAGTGTTGTTCAACTAATAGTCTGGTCGACCGTCAACCGCTCATGTCACGCAGCAAGTAGACAATATATGATAACATGTTTTGACCCTGACCATGTCTACAGATCATGACTGATGTCCGTGATTTCGAAGACGATATGAAGGCCGGCGTCCCCACTATCCCTGTCCTTCTCGGTTCCATACTCAAGACGAAGGTCATATTGACGACTTGTCATATGCTGGTTATGTTTGCCTTCATCGAAAACCCATACATTATGGGAAGCTGTATATTTGCCGCAGCTCTGGTGTGGATTCTTGGCAAAAATTCACCGAAAAAGGCGTTCTTGTTTAGCTCTCATTCGCAGTCCTTGTTTATCATCTGGTATTTGTTGGCAAGGAAGTATCTTCAGTTATATTAAGATGCAACTGACTATCGAAGAATATATTTGTAGTCAGTTTTGTAGATTATATCTTTGTCGTCGTCTCACTATATTTATTGTGTTAAGTTACCTACCTATCATAAGCGCAATTTCCTAGCTGTGATAAACCAAGTTCTCCATAAAATGCAATACCACTGATGGCGCTGCTTCACCTGAAAATCGTACTGTCACGCGTTACCGCCTTGCAATATCTTTCGGAATCCACCACCAACGAAAAAAAATGAGTCATAAACCTGATGGGCCTTGTATGACAACTGAGCTCCTACTCACGTCTTCGACTGAACCAGTTGCGTCTGTGTTCACCGACACAACTCCCTGGTCTTGACCTGTTCCACTGGCATGCACCCCTCGCAAGCCACAAGGAGCCCAGAAGCCACGACGGAAGCGCACCTTTTGACGAGAGTGCTGCTGTGAGACAATGAAAAAAACGGACCACAAGTTGCTATCGAATAAGTGGACGATGACAACGAATCTAACAATTCTCCTCACTTGCAACTAGTCTTCAGTGATCCAAGAAAAGTCAGAAAGATAATGTGCAGGCATGAAGTAGGCTTACAGACATCAAGCCAAAGCTTGACTAGCTGTTCGAGTTTTTAGCTGGCCCAGGCACGCGCTGGACTATGAACAACTAGATATTCGACCTTTTTTTGACTGAAAGACGACACTTTCAGTCCTAACGCTTGTCACGATCGATATATCGAGAAGGTTTGTCTAGAAAGTGTCAACACTACCCTGGAATATTCCAAGCATTTGCGCTCAGTATGCCCGTTCGCAGCTTCACCAACAGGACAAGCAGCGGCCCTAGGAGCAGGCGTATTGAGGTCCTACTAAGGTTTACAACAACACTGAGACACGCCCCAGATTCACCTGCAAGAGTACTAGTCAAGTTTAAGCGATCTACGATAATTGAAACTCAAAACGTAGTATACAGCAATTGCAGAAATCCAAGCACCGGTCAATATCGGAGCAAGGTGAGAAGTTCGCAACGCGAACATTGCAATCAGATTGAGGTGCCTCGTCGCTGTTCACGTTTGCGTTGGTGAGCGCCAGAAGTTCTTAGAGGTACCGTCACTAGGTTCCTATTAGTCGCCGGTACATGTGCATTGTGTTGCATATGAAACTTCAGTACAAGTTTTTGAAAAACGGGACTTCTGCATCCAAATGCGGTCAAGCGCGCGCATGGGGGAGCTGTCGGAAGTACCCTTCGGAAGGGTAACGCGACGTTTCTTGGGCGCTCATGGGCGTCTCTGCGGCTGGTGCCGAATTTCCAAGGCCTAGTACCTGTTCTTTTCATATACGGATTTACCAATATCACCACCTCCTTATCAAGGCGCTGCCAGCGAATCACGATGCACATATACCGCCTTATCACGTCCGGCTAGAAAATGCGCATTCGGAACCAACGGTTGTACTACAAGGAGGCCACTGCAATGCTATCGTTTCACCACAATCAGACCCTTGTCAAGTATAGACTCTAATAATAGGTACGAATATCAATGCTATCACAGGCGGCTTGCAGTGATTGTCGAGCAATTAAGTAAAGGCCTCTTAATTAATAGGCGTGCTAAAAATAATGACTCCTTCAGCTGCCTAACGTAGTAATACAAAGATGCACTTAGTAGGTCATGACTTCGGTGTACTTCGGCGTGGCTGGGTGCAAAAAATCATCGCTCAAGAACAAATATACGACATCGACGGAGCGTCAGCCAGGTCTGGTTTTATTCTTCTCATTCATAAGATGGTCGACAGGCAACCAGAGCGTTTAACGCCACTTTTGCACGATAGTAGGAATCTGAAAAACAAGCCAATGTTCAAATGTAAGTGCTGCGCAGCACACGAGTACCTGGGTGTGTATCGATATTGCATTCACGTAGTCTCATTGAACAACCATTGTAGGACACCGTCTGTGAATTCGAACCACCCGAGCCGGACTATAGCCAGTGCGACTTCTCGCACCGCTTTTGGCACAGCGCGTAGATATCGAAAGCTTAAGCAAGGCAAAACCGCAAAAACCGGGAGTGCGAGTGCTGTCAAAGTACAGGTTTGAACGTTGATTCTGATCTCGTACAGATGACCTAACCTGATCCGCACCAGTCTTTCGAGTGATGGAACGTAGTTGCACCAGTATAAAAAGCGGAGGTGAGTAGCATTTGCCTACTCTTCAGTCTCAATCAACATGTCAATCCTCACAATTCCGAAGCTTGCAGATGAGCTCTTCTTGCGACCCATCGTAATATCGATGAACAGCTTGGCCCTGTCAACCCTGATGTCCTATGTCATGTCCGCCAACGGATGCATTGACTGGAGACCGGTACGCTCATCAATTTAATACTAGATAATATCGCCGAAGCAATTGTCTTCGCAGATAACCATCTGTGTCACATCGGATATCCTTGCCGTGGGCGCTGACCATCTTAAGGATAAAGAGGAGGAATTCTCGTCGGACTGCAATAACACCAACAACCCACGCCTCGCCTCTTGGTTTATATATGCACGAACCTTGCTCGCCACCAGCGCTGCGCTCCTTGCATTGGCGCTATCTCAGTGTCCAATTTCAACACTCCTCACCACGGCAGCGTTCGTCGCTCCTGCCTTACTCTGGACCACTCCGATCAGCTTCACGAAGTTTGCGCCGATCTCGAGGTGTCTTCTCGGTATGTTTAGCGGAGACAAGCATGAGCCTTCTACATCTGCGCCTGTCCTTGTTATCAAACGCATTCCTGGCATGAAAGCCATCTTTAATGGCATCATTCGAGGGTACGTCTGCATGTTTGCCTTGAACGATCCACGTGTAAACTAATGCTCTTCAGATGTGGCATCTATGCTGTGGTTCTCTCCGTGTTGTCGGGATCAGGCAATCTGACCAACACGTTGCCGTCTCCATGGAGTGTTGTTCAACTGATAGTCTGGTCGACCGTCAACCGCTCATGTCATGCAGTAAGTAGATAGTATATAATCATATGATTTAACCCTGACCATGTCTACAGATTATGACTGATATCCGTGATTTCGAAGATGATATGAAGGCCGGCGTCCCCACTATACCCGTCCTTCTTGGTTCCATACTCAAAACGAAGGTCGTATTGACGACTTGTCATATGCTGGTTATGTTGGCCTTCGTCGAAAACCCATACATTGTGGGAAGCTGTATATTTGCCGCAGTTCTGGTGTGGATTCTGGGCAAAAACTCACCGAAAAAGGCGTTCTTGTTTAGCTCTCATTCGCAATCCTTGTTTATTATCTGGTATTTGTTGACAAGTATCTTCAGTCATAATTAACAGGTACCTTGGAATTAAATGTAACTGGCTACCGAAGGATATCTTCGTAGTCAGTTTCGTGGATTATATCGTTGTTGTCGTCTCACCATACTTATTGCGTTAAGTTACCTGTCTAGGCTTTTATGTGCATAAGCGCAACTTCCTAGATATGATAAACCGAGTTCTCCATAAAATACAATATCACTGGTGGTGCTGCTTCACTTGAAAATTGCACCGTCACGAGCGACCACCTTGCGATATCGTTCGGAATTCGCCACCAACGAAAAATGAGTCATAATTTCAACATAAGCTGATGCCCTGTACGACAACTGAGCTCCTCACTCACGTCATCGACTGAACCAACGGTGTCTGTGTTTACTGATACAACTCCCTGGTCTCGACCTAGCATGCACCCCTCGCAAGCCACAAGGAGTCCCGAAGCTACGACGGAAACGCACGTTTTGACGAGAATGCTGCTGTGAGGGGCAATAAAAAAAAGCTGACCCCAAGTTGCCATCGAATTATGGTGGATCTTTACAGTGCGTTGCAAATGACTTTAGAGTCACATTTTCGAAAATTCGCCACTTTTGTTTGTTCCTTTGTTTTGACGTGTGACTTCTGTCACACTTGGCCGCAATCATACGCTGTAGTGCTGGGAGCTCGCAACGAGTTTCAATGGCACCTCTAATCACTCCTGAAATGCGCCATAATATGACTGTTGTTGGAATCCGAGAGATCCGAGTAGAGGAAGACCGATGGATCCGAGATAGGAACAGGGGGAGAGTGAGAGGTACGAGCACAAGCCAAAAAGGATAAAGGTGAGCGACGTATGACGTCGGCTCGCATCCTACTTTATTTTATGTTTCTTATTCATTTTCCAACTGTAGTCAAGCTACATATGTTAAAAGCGCCTACTGAAGCGCCCAAACATCTCAGTTCTTCCAAAAGACTGAGATGTAAGTCCTTAACACTACCTACATGATACATTGTCTAACGACTAGTAGATACTTGTCCTTTTAGGTAGATGAGACATTAATAAGAGTTCTTCCAAGAGACTGAGATATACTTGTCCTTTTAGACTCCTCGTCCTACACTCCCTGCAACCAACTCCAGCCTGTTCAACATCCCGAAGCTCGCAGAAGACGGCTCAAACTGGATAACCTACAAGGAAAGAACATTAACGGCTATTGGAGCACGAGGTTTGATGCGATTTACCAATGGTCAAGCCTATGAGCCAGCGCCTTTTGCCCTCCATAAGGATACCAAAACCCCTATTAAGGCGGATGGTACGGCGCCCTCGCCAGCTGAGATAGATGAGCTGGAAAAGAAAGTCGATGAGTACCACCAGAAGAATGCTCTGGTAAAGCAGCAGATCTTTAGCATGATCACCGATTGGCTATTGCTCCGCGTCCAGAACCTCTATGAGGGCTCTGATATCTGGGCAGAGATCTGTCAGATACACGAGGGTAAAACGGAGCTCGTACAGATTGATATGTGTCACCGCTTGCAGGAAATGAGGTGTGAGGAGGGAGGAGACGTCAAAGCTCACTTCTCCGAGTTACTGAGACTTAGGGAATCCCTGACAGGAATGGGCGTAGGCATCCTAGATGCGGACTTCCATGCCATAATCCTGGGCTCTCTTCCTGAGTCCTACCGCCCCCTACTATCCTCTGTTAGTGCAGCTGCGAGAATAACCAAAACCCCACTCACCTCAAACGAGCTCATCACCATCATCACTGAGGAATACAAGCATTGGCAGTTGACCGACCGTCGTCCCACCAAGAAAAACGCCAGCTCGCTTCTATCCGCGAGAGAGAGCAAGGGCAAGGGCAGAGCATCCACTAGCTCGAGTAAGACGAACCCCAACATTACCTGCTATAATTGCGAGCGAAAAGGCCATTATAAGACAGATTGTTGGCGTCCAGGAGGAGGAAAGGAAGGGCAAGGCCCCAATCAGCGGAAGAGGAGAGGAGACAAGGCACCAAAGCAGACTGCTAACTCTGCAGCAGAGTCCGAACCCCAGGACCAATTTGCCTTTGTCACATTCGACCTGGCAAGTATAGCCAAGGACCTGGACGTACCTGTCGAGAAATGAGGCGCGATTGTTGATTCCAGCGCTACCTCCCACTTCTGCCCAGACCGGGCAAAATTCACCAATTTCGTCACCATACCTCCCCAGGACATTCATACGGCTGACAGCTCGACATTGAGCGCCGTAGGTCGAGGAGATGTGAAGGTAGACCTGCCTTTGGGTCAGAAAAGAACAACGGTAATGCTGAAGAACACGTTATACGCACCCAAGATGGCATTCACCCTCATATCCACTAATCGCATAACGGTGGCCGGCCTTGCTGTCCTCTTCGAGGGACGCATGTGCAAGATCCTCTCCCAAGGACCGAGCCAGCACGTTATTGCCGAGATCCCTCAGGTCCAAGGCCTCTATAGCATTGTAACGACTCATCAGAAGCAACACGCTAACATGGCGAGGACGAGACTTACCGTTGCAGACTTGCACCGTGTTCTGGGACACGCCTCCAAAACAGCAGTCATGGACGCTGTGAAGAAGGGCGTGGTCACCGGAGTCCAGTTGGACGCCACCTCCTCACCCGAATTCTGCGATATCTGTGTCAAAGCAAAGTCAGCGCGAAAACCCTTCCCAGAAGAGACTAAAACACGTGCCCTCACCTATGGGGAGTTAGTGCACACTGATCTCTGGGGACCAGTGCAGACTACCAGCCTGGGCGGATGCCTCTATTATATCAGCTTTACTGACGACTATAGTCGCCAGACGAAGCTTCAGTTCTTGAAACTAAAAAGTGAGGCACTTACCGCATTTAAGGTGTATGAGGCCTGGTTGGCCAGACAGACACCTGGAGTCTGGCTGAGCAAGATACGCTTGGATTGAGGGGGAGAGTACCTGAGTGCAGAATTCGATGCATACCTATGTCAGCAAGGGATTCAACAGCAGCTCACAGTCCACGACTCACCTCAACAGAATGGAGTCACCGAACACCTAAACTGAACACTGGTAGAGCACGCTAGAGCGATGCTCCTGGCCAAGGATCTGCCAAAATACCTGTGGGCGGAAGCGGTCAACTACACCACCTGGCTGAAGAACCGTTGACCTTCCAGAGCGACGCCAGGTGCTACTCCTTATGAGCTTGTTCACCAGACGAAGCCTAGCCTGGCGCAGGTACATGAATTCGGCGCCACCATCTATGTCCATCTCCTGGAGGCCGGGAAGTTGGAGGCTAAGGCTGGAGAGGCGATGTTTGTGGGTGTAGATGTGGAGAGCAAGGGCTATAGGGTGTATTGGCCGTCAAAACGTCGAATTTCGGTTGAACAAAACCTCACCTTTGCTCCTACAGAGATCCAAGTGGCTGAAGATGTCCTGGACAAGGGGGAGTCTACCCCTGCTACAGTGAACGACAAATACAACAACAACATTAGCCCCAGTAGCAGCGGCAATGCTAGTACCAACACACCTAAGGTTGCCCAGCCCATCTCACCACCACCACCCTCTACCCCTCCAAGAATGACTCCACCCTGTCCCATAATGCCACCGGCACCCAGGGTAACGCGGATTAGAGAGCCTTTGGGCTACTATGCAGACCTACAGAAAGGTCAAGGCTCCAAGGCAGGAGGGAGCAAGGGAGAGACGGCATCAGTGGCTATAGAGAGCCTGTTAGAAGCATCAGAGATGGACCTGCTGGATGAAGAAACCCACCTGGAACTTGCCTTGGCCACTGCAGAGCCAGAGCCAATTTTGCAGCAAGCGCTGAACAGTCCTGACGGAGTAGAATGGCAAGAAGCGCTGGATTATGAAATCAGCCAATTAGAGAAGTTAGGTACATGGGAAGTGACTGACCCACCTAACGGCGCCAACATCATTCCATGCCATTTCGTCCTAGCGACAAAACGAGGTCCTGACGGCGAGAAACTCAAACTCTGTGCTCGTCTCGTCGCCAACGGCCAAAGGCAACAATATGGCATCGACTACTTTGATACCTTCGCCCCTACTGCCAACATGAGCACCATACTGCACTGTATTGACAATGGCAGCTCAATGAGACTGGGAAATCCACCAGGTGGACATAAAAAGTGCGTACCTGTATGCTAGTATCCAGGAGGAGATATACATGCGGGCACCCCCTGGCTATCTGAAGGACGGTCAGAAGGGCAAGGTACTAAGGCTGATGAGGAGCTTACCTGGGCTGAAACAAGCTGGGTTTTAATGGGCGGAAGAGCTGGCAGGTGTTCTTGTAGAGCTTGGCTTTAGCCGCTCCAAAATTGACCAAGCCGTGTACTACAAGCAGGCACTGGACGAACACGTCGTGATCACCATCTCCGTCGACGACATGGCTGTCACCGCCAACCATACCTCCCATATCCATCACTTTAAGTCCCAGCTTCGTCAATACTTTGAAATATCGGACCTAGGCGAGCTAAATTGGTTACTGGGACTCAAGGTAACCAGAGACAGGACTGCACGCACCCTAACCCTCTCCCAAAAGGCCTATGTTGAGATGATAGTCGACCGGTTCTACCTAGGTGACGCCAAGAGTGCCCAGATGCCAATGGAGCCGGGAATCAGCCTATCTGTGGAGCAGGGACCTGGCACTATCGCAGAGCTACAAGCAATGCGAGATGTACCGTATCAGAGGGCCATTGGGTCCCTAATGTACGCTGCCACAAGCACACGTCCTGACCTAGCCTTCCCCGTCGCAATGTTGTCCCAGTTCATGTGCAATCCTGGTAGACCCCATTGGGAAGCCACCAAGCGCGCCCTATGCCACCTAAAAGGTACAGCTGATTTTGAGCTGACCCTGGGTTCAACGGACGGAGGTTTGGAAGCCTTCGTCGATGCAGACTGGGCGTCCCAGCCCCACCAGCATTCCATGTCCGGTTATATCGTTCTCCTGAACGGAGGTCCTGTGGCCTGGAGTGCATGTAAGCAGCCCCTGATTGCTCTATCCACCACAGAGGCTGAGTATATTGCCCTGACGAGTGTGATAAGAGAACTACTTTACCTTCAGTTACTGATTGGCGAGCTCTACAAAGCGCCCCCACTTCCCATCCCCGTCTTCTGCAACAATCAAGCTGCAATAGCTCTCGCGTCGAACAGAAAATTCCAATCACATACCAAACACATTGACCTTCGCTACCACTTCATCCGGTCCCATGTCAAGGACGGCACCTTCCAGCTATTCTACTGCCCCACAGACGACAATGTTGCCGATGCCTTCACAAAGGCATTACCTCGCCCCCACCTGCAAAAGCTCAGAGCTCTGATGAGCCTAGCTTGTGCTCGAGGGGGAGTGTTGGAATCTGAGAGATCCGAGTAGAGGAAGACCGATGGATCCGAGATAGGAACAGGGGGAGAGTGAGAGGTACGAGCACAAGCCAAAAAGGATAAAGGTGAGTGACGTATGACGTCGGCTCGCATCCTACTTTATTTTATGTTTCTTATTCATTTTCCAACTGTAGTCAAGCTACATATGTTAAAAGCGCCTACTGAAGCGCCCAAACATCTCAGTTCTTCCAAGAGACTGAGATGTAAGTCCTTAACACTACCTACATGATACATTGTCTAACGACTAGTAGATACTTGTCCTTTTAGGTAGATGAGACGTTAATAAGAGTTCTTCCAAGAGACTGAGATATACTTGTCCTTTTAGACTCCTCGTCCCTCCCACTCTTATTATCACCGCAACTGTCTGGTGCTATGAACAATGGAAGACTGTGTCTGAAATATCTAAACTCACCTGATGGTGGATCAGGCACAGACTACAAGGGAAACCCAGGCCAAACCTCTATGGCGGGAGGAGGCGGCTCTATCTATCGAGGACTGACTACGACACACCTCAGGACTACCAACTACGAGCCAGGACCCCTGGCACTCCTGACCTGATCCGTCCTGCTGGAGCGCCCCGCTCCAATGGTGGGGTATGGATGTATTCTTTTGGCCTATAGGCCTAAAATAGGGATACATCGCCTGACATAGTTGTCCGCTCAGTGATACATCCGTGTAGCTTAAGTATCCTTGTGTCTAATATAGCAAGCAGTCACCAAGCAGTCACATTGAACGAATCTAGCTGCCATTCGGATCAAACAAGTTTATTTCACATCAAGGTACTGTTACAATCTAAGTATGCCCCTATTCATTTTCTTCTCTTACCTTGTATTACATCATGTACCGCATGATGCTGCTGCTAGACTTATCACTTTCTCATCTTATCATTGACTCATTGTATTACATCATGATCGCTACCAAGCTGTCATTAGATGACCTATTCTTGCTATCTCTGACTCATTCAGACACCTGCCCTAAAGCAGTTATCGTTCACTATATAAACCCGTCTTGTACATTGTAGTTCTTTACTTTAATCTTACTTGGTTTTACCTGGAACTTCCTTCGCTTAAGACTCCAATCTTAAGTCGTCTGAACTTGATTCAAGTCAAGGACACTCTCCTTGATTTGTCTTATGTATGTAGGAGTCTTTGAACCGACCTTAGCTGACATTGCTTATTGTGTTGCTATACGTCAGAACTATCCCAGTTCATAACAGAAGATTAAAGTCTTCTATCGAACCTCTCCACCACGAGAGGCCCAATTGCTAGTTAGCAAAGACGACCCCTTGGGTTAGAAAGTATTGGTGGGAACATGATCCTAATGAACCCGACTCCCCAGAAGAATATCATGAGGCCACAGGCCCGGATACAGAAGACAGAGAGAGATGAGAACTGTCCCCTGTAGAAGAACCAGAAGACAGAGAGAGACGAGAACCATCCCCTGTAACCACTGAATCAGATCACCACTTGACAACCTCATCTGACGAATTTCCAGAAGACAGACCACCCTGAAGCCTAGCAGCCAACCCCTGTTTCAGAATGTCTACTACTACGTCCTCCCCCGAGTTAAAAGCCGGAACACTCACGGTTTATAAAGGAGATCCAGACCACACCATTAGATGGTTATATTCGGTAAAAGCGTTGTAGAGGCTTGTGCTCCTACAGGCACACTTCTAGCGTCTTCCCTCTCCCCCTATAGCCACCCTCACATCGTTAAGGGTGCAAGCGCCTTACAGCTGCACCGCACTGCAGGCACTTTGGCGCCAGCACATGTGGCTGCTTGCGCTTGCGTGCTGGATCCTGTCGCTTGTCCTCTGCACATCCTATCCATGTCCTCCCTGGTCCATTGGTGTGTGTTTTCTTTCGTTTGAGTCACGCTGATGATATCTCTGCGCCGTACGACACTCTTTGCATTACAGACCCTTACTTACGCACTGTTACACACAATATGTACTCGCTTGCTCAGCTCCGCGCCATGGGAAAGCGCTTAGTGGTACTTACGTGTTAGAATTAGTTTTTGATACTTACTTCCGTTCCACGAGCATTGCAGTCCATAGCCCCAGTTACACTTTGAATCCACTCGAGTTTTCTGAGCTGCATCAGCCATTATCAGCGCGCACCTTATATTTAGTGGCCGCATCATCAGCGCATTCAAAGCACTTCGTGTGGTTTATACTCTTTTCAGCGCATTTATGTTACAGTCAAGTACGCCCCTATTCATTTTCTCTTCTTACCTTGTATTACGTCACGATCGCCATCATGAGCTGTCGCTAGACTTCTCTTATTACCAGTTGTATTACACCACGATCACATTATGCTGTCGCTAGGTGATCTATTCTTGTTATCTCTGACTCATTCTTATCTCTGACTCATTCTTATCTCTGACTCATTCTGACTTCATCATACCGGCCCTAAAGCAGTTATCTTTCA